AACACAAAAAGGGCTGGTGGAGTAGCTCAAATGGTAGGGATGCCTGCCTAGCAAGTGCAAAGCCCTAAGTTCAAACCTCTGTACTGCCAATGATTTAGAAAGACAAGAAAATAAGCAGAAAAGGCTCTACAGTATAGTAAAAGTCATATTTGTGAATATTATCCTAAATAAATATGTAGGTAGCTTGCTAGCTTTTCCAGAATTGCAATGTAAATTCTTCCTTCTAGAGAAGCTCAGTATGGTTATGGGGAAATACTTGAGAGTTTGTTCTGCTATGGTTAGTCCTTAAGATCTAAGCAAGTGAATTGCTGTCTTCCACTAGGCTGTGAATTTCAAGTGAGAGGTTAAACTTTGCTCTGTCACACCAGATTTTTATAGCCCTAGATGAGAATCAGGGCTATATCTATTTAGTACACTGTATCTATTTAGTACACTGATATATTACTTACAAAAGCAAAACCGGGAACAGTAAATAGTCTTGTAGATATATGGAAAATTCAATATCACCATGTAATTCTGGAAAGTTCCTTTAACTTGGCCAACATAGAAGAAAAAAAAAATCCTACATTTGTTTCTCTTGCCCTTTGTAATACTGATACCTTGACTGCATAACCATGTTTCCTTAACAAAAAGGGAAACTACAACTACTGGGATTTGAAAGATAGGTATCATAAGTGAAAAATAATTAAAAATTTTAAAGTTTAATCAGATAAATTAATGGGGAAATATGGCATACTTAGTTAACTGAAGTTTATAATCAGTATTCAACTTTTGAATATTTTCTAAAACAATGGAAATTATATTATTTTAGTTTATTTTCTCGCCTTAAACAGAATATTCTGAATATTGTTAAATTTTATGACTAGGAACCTTATAAAGTCTTACAAAATATTATTTAATATTCTATAGATAGAGAAGTTTTAAGAATTGTGCTGAATGTGTTTTAAACTCTAAGCCTGGGGGTGTTTTATTACATTTTTTTTAAGATGGACTTTTTTTTTAAGTAGAATACAGTGATTAATTCATGTTAATAGGTTTGAACTTAATTCCAGTCTGCATTAAGCAAAATTTTACTTTATTGCAAACTGAACAAAATTGTGTTGATTTCACTACTTACTTGAAAAATGTACTTTCTAACATTCAAATTACAAACTTTTTCAGTTGTATTTATTGGTTGTAAGCAAGTACATATAACTTACTCCTACTGCCAGAAATTGAGTCAGAGGGGTTATCAAGAATGACTACTGGTTTTGATCATTGTTGTGTTATATATGTGATAGAGTAGAAGAGTTATTCACATACAAATCTTATTTTTAAAACCTTTTTTTTGGTGGGGGCAGCACTGGGGTTTGAACCCAGGGCCTCAAGTGAGCTTGCGAGACAGGCATTCTGTCACTTGAGCCACTGAGTCAACTCCATGTATAGCTATCCTTATCTCAACCAGCAAAAACACTTGTTCCTTCCTATTATTGCTTATACTCTCTCTTCAACAAAATTAGAGATAAGGGCAAAATAGTTTCTGCTGGGTATTGAGGGGGTGGGGGGGAAGGGAGGGGGTGGACTGGGTGGTAAGGGAGGGTGTGGGGGCAGGGGGGAGAAATGACCCAAGCCTTGTATGCACATATGAATAATAAAACAATAAAAAAAAAGTGTGGTAATTTGAGATCTTGATAATTTAAAGGTTCCAAATTCTGTGAGAATGAATATAGTTATATCAAAAATAGTTACTATTAAAATATTACTTCAAAAAATGCCTTACCAGTTTTGCTTGCATTTTTTAAGTGAGATATTCTTTATTAAGGGCATATTCTATACCCAGTACTTCACTATAGTCTATAAGAGATAATCTCTGTCAGCAAAGAACTTTTAACCTAGATAAGAATATGATACTAACATATAAGAAACAACTAGAGGATAATGAAACATAAAATCTGACTTGCTAACTAGAAGTTCAAAGAAAATGTGAACTTAAATTCATCAGAGAAGGCTTCTTAGAGGAGGCAGAAGATGATCTAGACTTAAAAGATGGATAGGATTGACTAGTGAAGTGAGAGTGATAGACTTTTAAGTACATAGGGAGTTAAGTACATATAGTAGATTGAAGAAAGAGAGTAGGCCTTAGGGGATAAGTAGGGAAGTGAATATAATCATATCTGAGATTATTTTCCTTCCTTTGCATAAGGTGCCCTCTTTTTTTTTTGTTTGTTTGGTTTTGGGTTTTGGCAGTACTGGGATTTTAACTTGGCTTCGTGCTTGTGAGGCAGGTACTCTACCACTTTGAGCCATGCCTCCAGTCCTTTTTGCTCATTATTTTAGAGATAGCATCTTGCTCTTTGTTTTGTTTTTTGTTTTTTTGTTTGTTTTTTATTGTTTTATTATTCATATGTGCATACAAGGCTTGGGTCATTTCTCCCCCCTGCCCCCACACCCTCCCTTACCACCCAGTCCACCCCTTCCCTCTCCCCCCACCCCCTCAATACCCAGCAGAAACTATTTTGCCCTTACCTCTAATTTTGTTAAAGAGAGAGTATAAGCAATAATAGGAAAGACCAAGGATTTTTGCTAGTTGAGATAAGGATAGCTATACATGGAGTTGACTCACATTAATTTCCTCTGTGTGTATGTTACCTTCTAGGTTAATTCTTTTTGATCTAACCTTTTCTCCAGTTCCTGGTCCCCTTTTCCTATTGGCCTCAGTTGCTTTTAAGGTATCTGCTTTAGTTTCTCTGGGTGAGCATCTTGCTTTTTTGTGCAGACCAGCCTGAACCATGATGCTCCTATTTTAAGCTTACGACTGTAGTTAGAATGACAGGCACAGGCTACAACCTCCAGATGTTTTCCCTTGATACAGGGTTTTGCAAACTTTTTCACCCAGGCTGGCCTGGAACTGCAAATCCTACTGTCTCAGCCTCCTAATAGCTAGGATTACAGGCATGAGCCACCATTGCCCACAGCTGGGTGCCTCATTTCAAAGAAAACAGTATTCAAATTGCCTGTAGCCCTTCAAGAGCCAAGGTATAATGTTTTAAAGGACTGGGGCAAACAGCTTGTAAGAAATAACTGGAAGGGAATCTAAGCTTAAATATGACAAGTTTACCCTGAATGACTAGGGATCTATGGCTCTTAATTAATCATATCAAATGAGAAATCTTGAGAGGAAATGATTGAATAGCCAAAGTTTTACTGTCTTGGATTCTAGGGGACTGTGACATAATACTCTAATAATTGTTAAGCCAAAATTCTTTTCTAAAACTTCTCTGATTTTCATCCAAGCCTTAGCTCAAGTTATTTACTCCAAAAAAAAATGTCCTTCCCTTATCTTTGTGTGTCAAAGTCTATTCCCTACATTAAATTTTTCCCATGTCACTGTTCTTTCTAGCCAAAAAATACATTTCCCTTTTGCGTTTCCATACCTTAGAACAACTACTGCATACTGCATTGTGGGAAGGAATTTTCTTATTCTTTATTGTGTACTCTGCAAGCCTTACATAGTAGGTACTTGGTAAATAACCACTGATTGTTGAAGATGGACAGTAGTGCCTTCATGATAAAACAGCAAGTTCTGGAATGGCTTAATCTAACTAAGTAAATATAAAAATACCCAGGTTCTTTTTGGTTCTGTAGGAGTTTTCCACCTATCAGTGGTCTTGTCATTCTGTGCTACATATTAACATTCATGTCTCAAATCTTAGATACCTTACAGTGCCTTTTTATTTATTTATTTATTTATTTACTTACTTACTTACTTATTTTGTGGTACTAGTAAAATTTCATTTTTTTAAAAAGCAAAACCAGAATCCTGTAGGTGAGGATATGAATAATCAGGATTGGTACATTCTAGTTATCTCTTTCGAGGGCCATTAGCTGTGTAAATGATCATTTCTAAAATTTATAACAGTGTGAAATACTATGAATGTAACTTACCTCTGAGGTAAAAACCTGTGAGTTCCTGAGAAGATAGGAGATGGTAGTAGAATGAAAGTTCTTATGCGAAAAAGCACTTTTCAGGCAGGAGGCCTGACTCACAAGCACGAATCCCTGAGTTCAAACCATAATAATGGAAAAATACACTTTTCAAAATTAAACATTTCTGGTTCTAAAAAAAAAACATTTTGGGCTGGTGGCCTGGCTCAAGTGGTAGAACGCCTGCCTATCTAGCATGCAGCCTGAGTTCAAACCCCAGTACCACTCAAAAAACAAACTTTTTTGTAGTTACTCATTTATTCACATGTGCATACATTGCTTGGGTCATTTCTCCCCCCACCCCCCTCCCCTACCCTCTCACCCTCTCTCCCCCTCAGTTCCAGACAGATCCATAAACATACACACACACACTCGCTCTCTAAAATTAATGGAATGCTTCTGAATGTTTATGCGTACTATAGACAACTCTAGTAAATAGGCTTTCTTATAAACTTTCTTGAACAATTTTATAAGAGACCAGCCAAGTCACACCAAAAAGCTTTCATATATTGAAGAAGTCAAAGAAAATTATTGATCAGATATGTAACATTTGTTTTCTGCTAAGACATTTGTTTTATTTGTAGTGGGGTAAAAATTCATTTTATGTGCCCTTAGAGCTTTTATATAATACATTTTTGGCAATGCAAGAGTTCTCCACCTTTCACTGCCTCCCTTAACAGAGTCCTCTTCATTCTGTGCTATCTATTAATGTTCATGCCTCAAAATATTAGATACTTTAAAGTGTCATTTTTAAAACCAAAACCAGAAACCTATGGGGAGAGGTTTTTCATGCTGGGAATCAAATGCAAGACCTCAAGCATGCTTGGCAAGTGCTCTACCACTGACCTGCACCCCTGTCCCTTAATTATGTTTTTTGAAAAGCCTATTATTGCTGTTGGTCTGGATTTATATTTGAGGGTGGTTGACGTATTTATAATTTTGCCAAAAGTCAGGAATTGAGCCAGCAATGAAATAATAGTTCCTATGATAAATCAGTTTCCCTTCTATCTTGATTTGCTTTATGACCTGTTTTCCAGGTGTGAATTTTGACACCATGGCTTCCTTCCTCCCCCAAAAAGGTGAGAGCTGACTAACTCATGGTCACTTAGACCATGTGGAGAAGGGATTAAGACTGGAAGCAGAAAACAGACATTGTCTGTACAGAGCAAAGTGCCTTACAACAGTTCACTTTAGTAGAGGGCAATAAGTGCCACATGAGATGATCCCCTCCCCTCAACACAAAACTGTAAGTAACTGGGAACTTACAGGGAAATTGGAAAGTTGTTTCTGTTGTCAATAAAAATGTCTTCATTTTGTAATTTGGGGCCTGCCTGCTTGCAAACTAATATGCATTGAGTTGTCAACTGAACTTTTCCTAGTTTTTCCTTGCAAGAATTTATACCAAAGTAGAATGCCATATTCACCCTAAAGTAACCTGGGATCTGGGCTACAAGAACTGAGGCCAAAGATTACATGAATTTGGATAGCCAGGTTAGAACTAAGTTTTGGGCCTTTGCCTATACAAGACTTTAGTCTTGAATATAGCAAGGAATAGGAAGACATCAAAGTCTCTTGCAATAAAATCTGGAAGGAGACTTTTGGAAGTTTAATGTGGCAATACCATTCCTAAGACATAAAGTCTGATGGTAAGGAACCCTAGTATGTGACTATTGTAATAATCTGGGAAAAACCTGAACAGGCCAGGCCTGGTGGCTCTAGTCTATAATCCTAGCTATTTGGGAGGTGGAGATCAGGAGGATCAGGTTTGAGGCCAGCCTTGACAAAAAGTTTGTAACACCCTATCTCGTCCAGTGGCAAAGCACTGTGGCATGTGCCTGTCATCCCAGCTATACAGGAAGTGTAAATAAGAAGAATCATTGTCTAGGCTTGCCCAGGTATAAAGCGAGACCCTATCACAAAAATAACCAATACAAAGAGGGTTGGCAGAGTTGATCAAGTGGTGAGTGCCTGCCTAGCGAGCACAAGAACCTGAGTTCAGTCCCCAGTACCACACAAAAAAAGCCTGAACAGAATAATGATGATACAAATGGAAGTGATTGCCAAGCATGGTGGTTCACACTATAATCCCAGCACTTGAGAAGCTAGGCAAGAGGATCATAAGTTCAAGGCCAGCCTGGCTTACATAGTGAGATCCTGTCTTAATAAATAAATAAATAAAGTGGAGGTGAAAATAAATTTATCATATTTCAAAAGAAAAAAACTATACCTTAGGTTTAGAAAACTGATATTCCGTACTTGAATACTTGGTTTTGATGGAGAAATGCACTTAAGAACATATCATGATGGTTTAGATAAAGGGGAGGCATAAAAATTATATATTTTCGGTACCAGAAAACAATGGTGATATCGCTGAAACCAAAAACAGACAGTTAAGAGAGAAGCCAATTTGAGAAGATGATACTGGGTTCCATTTGTGTAGTATTATTAGCTGATATTCAAGCATTCACTTCAAAATCCCTGATTAAAGGCTACTAGATATACCAAGCTGGAATTCTATGTAAAAGTCAAGCTGAGTAAATTTGGCAGTTACTCACATGAAGCTGATAGAGGAAGTCAGGTTAATTGAAGCTCTTTTTTAAGGACATGGATCCTTTAAAAAAAAAATTATGTAAATAAACTTGCTACATATAAAATCTTACATATTTCCGAAACTGAATTAGAACTCCCTTTTTACCTTAGAGTGTCATATCTCAAACTTATTGGTGTCTGTAAGAAAATTCCTACAGTTGTATCAGTTATGAGGATCAAAGACTGAACTGTTTTAGTACTCTTGAACCTTACCTTCTCTTTTAATAAAACAAAGGTCTTCCCAGTATTAGACTGAGAGAGTGAAATTAAGACATAAAGTCTAAATAATTCAGTCAGTTTAAACTTTATAAAATTGACATAGCTTTAATTTCCAAATGGAAAAGCAAGTAATTGAATTGGGGGAAGTGTGCTAGTCTCCAGTTTCAAGAAACAGTGTAGCACAAAGACCTGGCATTCTGGCTGAAGAGCTGTAATAATAAACAGAAATTTGAAAACCAGGAAGACAAGTTTTCCAAGAGTGCATCTGTGGCGTTTCAAAGGAGATTTAACAAGAAATTCCGGAGGATGGCCAAAATAGGTTTAGATAATTGAGATTCCTTATTTAAATACTTGTTTTTGATGAAGAAACACACTTCAGAGGAAATGATGGTCCTAAGGTCTGAAACTTTTTCTCACCATAAATCAAGTTTGCTTTTGAAGAAAACTAATACTCAAATCAAATAGAAATTAAACACGATTTAAATTATAGGAATTTAAAAAGTGAAGAAAGTAAGAATTGTTTTAAATTAACTGAAAGCAAATATTTTGGTTTTCTAGGAGCAAAATATTGTTCTGTAGGATTCCTGTTTATAAAGTCAAAATATCTTGCTCATTTGCCTAATTGTTACTTGTCATGATAAATAGCTTCTCGTCATTATTCTACATCTTTGCTTAATTTTAAGGAATATGTAAGGAAACTAAAAATATAAATCTGCACTTCCAAAATAGCCTTTATAAGCTTTGCTAATATGTCTTCCATATATACCAGAATATTTGGGCCATTTTACCTTAATCCTTGAATCTAATCCAAGTTCTGTGAATATACAACTTCAAATTGGGTTACCCAGAACTGCAAACTTTCCTTTTTATGTTTTTAAGCCTAGTTACATCTGACTTACTTGCCTGCTCTTCTGACTTCTGTCTTTTCATGACTCCTAAATTATGGAGGTATGTGATGATTTAATATCAATTTTAGTCATGTGACATTCATTCTAAAAAAAATTTTTTGGTGGTGATGGAATTTGAACTCAGGGCTTTGCACTTGCTAGGCAGGCACTGTACTGTTTGAGTCATGCCTTCAGCTCCTAAACTAATATTTTAATGTTATTAATTGCTAAGCACTCTTAGCAATTTACTTTTTATTAGCAAATAATATATACTCACTTTTGGCTAGGCTATTTTATTTTACTGTGCTTAAATGTATAGTTTGGTGTATTCAATGAATTAGTGTTCTTATACATCTGTATTTTCTCCTATTTTGGCATAGAATTACCCAAGTAAATTTTTAAGAGAAAATACCTGTAATCTTACCCCTTGAATCAACTCTTTCAGACTGAATTATATAAAGTATCTTCATCCATCTTTGCATCTACTCTAATTCTTGTTTTTCTGCATATGTGTTCCCTAAGACTATAGCTTTCCAAATGTTTCAGTGGTTCATTTGAGCCCATTAGGAACTGAGAAATGTAGGGGAATGTAAAGACACAATCCTAGTTCTTATCTTCAAAGCACTCATAGAACCTCAGATATCAGTGAGCAGACTTCCTTGAGGTCTTTTATTACAAAAAGGGTGGGCCAGCTGGTGGGGTGGCTTAAGTGGTAGAGTGCCTGTCTAACAAACATGAGGCCCTGAGTTCAAGCTCCGGTGCCACTAAATAAATAAATAAATAAACTACAAGCAAACAAAAACAAAACAGACATTCTTCTCTTAGAAATACTATAGAACTTTGAGAGGTTGGCTCTCTATGTCTGACGAATAGCAGAGTGGGCTGGAGGCATGGTCTGGCTCAAGCTGTGTAGCACCTGCCTAGTAAGTGTGAAGCCCTGAGTTCAAATCCCAGTACTGCAAATTTTTAAAAGGTTGGGGGCATGTAAGATGAGCTTCTCTACTTAGCTCCTTACTTAGGAACCCAGAGAAGTTCAAGTTCTTTGCAGAAGTGGTGTGAAATTATGAGTAATATGAAATTGAAACAGTTTGTATTTGGTATGTTTTACCCAACTGATAAGATAAAAAGTCATTTGTTTTATGATTTCTGTTTTTGAGGTGTTGGTGCAAATTCAAAGATACAGAAAACTGCCCACCTGTATGTGTTTAGAGAAGTCTTAGGCACACTTTAGTTTTGGAAGCCAAGTCCTATTTATTTTGCTGCATGTTTACTTCATGTTTTATTCTTTGATATACTAGATACATATTTCCAGTTTTTACCCATGGAGCATTTTAGCTTTTTAGCCATTAAAAGATTTCATAGTTAAGGTAAATAGATGAAGACATCCTAAATGATGAGTTTTGGTAGAAGTTGTATGTAGCTTTTCATCATTAAAAGCCCAGTAGAAGGCCTTATACTTCTTGAGTGTAATTCTGTGGAAAGCTGGTGGGTAATTGTGTTTTTCTTTACTTGGTTCTTGATATTCCAGAAATCTAAGTAATTTTAACACTTCTCTTGATTTCTTGAGATTTTGGTTAAAAACACTAAGTCCCGAAATGCTAGTTTATGCCATATTACTCTCTTCTGTGGGTTCTTTGACTCCAGGAAAATTTCCTAAATTTCTTTTTGAAATGTTCCTCTTAGTTGCTTCTACATTACTAAACTTGCTAAACATGCTGTTGCAGTCAACTTTCTCAGCACATAGAAGGTTTAAAACACTCTTGGCATTTTACCCCAGCACAGTCTCTGATTGGATACGTCTCTAGTAGTATGGCTGTTTCTATTTTTTATGATAGAGTATCAGTACAGAAACTTTTAACACAAAGCTGAATATTGTCAGATGTAAATGCTATATAAGAGAAATTAGAAACAGATTATGATTCCCTAAACCATATATTTCTCAAGTTGCTTTCCCTCAACCATTCAGGCTCCTGATTTCAGATGTGCTTTCAAAGCAACCCCAATTAGTTCCAACTTTACTATAACCTCAGAACTCTTTGTAATTATAACTTATATGTTAAATTCAGGCATAAAATTGAGCATAGAGCTCCTTTTCAAAAAATATTTGTAGGAAGAACTTCCAAAATCACTAGTAAGTGATTGTGGTTCAAGAATCATAAGCTAAATTCTTTGGTGCCTTGTCAGAAGTGAAACCGTGGGTAATGGAAAGAAGCTGAAACAAACACAAGTGGGAGACCAGAGAAGACCCAACTATTTATTTATTTTTTTATTTTTTTGGTGGGACTGTGGTTTGAACTCAGTACTTCACTCTTTTGCAAAGCAGGCACTCTACCAATTAAACATGCTTCCAGTCTGTTTTTTGCTGTGGTTATTTTGGAGATGGGATTCTCCTGAACTGGCCTTGAGTCATGATCCTCCTGATCTCAGATTCCCAAGTAGCTAGGATTACAGGTGTGAGCCACTGGTGCCCAGCAAGACCCAGCTATTGATGGTATCATTAAGACCTGAAAGACCTTAACATGCCACAATATATACATAACTTGTGTATATGAGATGGAATGACAGGTATCTATGATTTGTTGGACCTGGGTTTTCAGTGTAGTTGGCCAAGATAAGCTTCTGGCATTATTTTCTTATAACAAAAACTTAAATAGAAAAATTTATTTAGTCAAGAAGTTAAGAGCTAATTGATGCCTATGTGAAAATATTCTAGTCTTTTTTTTTTCTCCCTAAAACAGGCAAGAGTTTTTAATTTGTGTAAGGTGCACCTTAACCTATCCCTGTTTTCTTCAAACTACATTTGCCTGGCTGCCTTTTTGCATGTCTGGACATCCCACTTATAAGTCCCACTATAGTTTGGAGTGAAAACAAGGACTGAGATGATACTGATAGATCTGTCTCCAGATGAGATAATCTCTAAAATATTTACTGAAATAAGAAACTTGGGCCAGGCACCAGTGCTCATGCCTGTAATCCTAGCTACTCAGGAGACAGAGATCAGGAAGATCACGGTTCAAACAGCCTGGGCAAATAGTTCATGAGACCCTATCTCAAAAATACCCAACATAAAAAAGGACTAGCAGAGTGGCTCAAGTGGTAGAGCCATTTGCCTTGAAGGCATAAGGCCCTAAATTCAAACCCACCAAAAAAAAAAAAGAAACAAACTTTCCAGCTTCCAATAAATAAATAAATGAATGAACGAACAAACTCTACCCATTCTACTCCCTAATGAACATTTTGTGTGTGTGTGTGTGTGTGTGTGTGTGTGTGTGTGTGTGTGTTTTTGGTTTTTTTTTTTTGGTTTGGGTTGTTTTGTTTGTTTGTGTTTTGCAGTAGTAGGGATCTACCCACGGCCTCATGCATGCTAGGCAAACATTCAACCACTGAGCTACATAGCTACATTCCCAGCACCATCATTTTTTAAAATTGTGGTAATCTGTCCTAAAAACTTCTACACTGTGAATTCATGGCTATGAAAGGCTTAAGTTGTTTTAATTTAAACTCATTGTCAGTATTATGAATTATAATGATGATAAGCTCCAGAGGGGCAAGAATTTTTTTGTTCTGTGCAGTAAGGATCTCCAATGTCAAGAATAGTGTTTGGCACATAACAGATGACAGCAAATATTTTATTGAATGAATGAATATTATATTACATGTTTCCAAAGATAATATATTTCTGTTAGCTCATTAAAAAGAACATTTTATTTCTAATCTCAAAATTGCTTCCTACAATGTGAATGACTAAAAACACATTAATAACAGTTTAAACATTTCCTGTCTTACTCCCTGCCAAACTATAGTTAGAATATTTTTTGCTTCAGTATTTTTTTAATCATTATCAGATTTGAAGAGTCTTATCAGCAAAACACTACACAGAATTAGACAGTACTAGATGAATAACTATGCAAGTTATACACAACTAGTTAAATCACATGCATGGCAAAAATTTAGCAGAATAGAAATAGAGTTTAATACTAGAAAAACAACTAGACCCACCACATCATTCCCAAAACTATAAAATGACAAACTAAGTTGGTGTTTCTGCAGAAAAGATTAGTGCTATCAAAAACAAAACAAAAAACTTATTTAAAGAGAATTTCCTCTTATTTGGATCATTATTTTCAGTTACTAATATTAACATTATTAATTTTAAGTTATTTTACACTTTTTCATAACACTTAACTTTTGTGGAGGGTGGGTAAAGGGGCTTGAACTCGGGGCCTCACACTTGCTAGGCAGGTGCTTTACCACTTGAGCTACTCCACCAGCCCAATGATACCTAACTTTTTAAGGTAAAATTTTTTCTTCCAAGTCTTTCTTCCCCACAACCTAGTACACAGAAATCTAAAAGTCACCACTAGAAATTTCAGCTTCTTTACTATAAATGGAAGTGCTTCACAGGAAGGGTGGTACAATAAAATTTGTGAGTACAAGAGACAGTAAGCCATACTATGCCATAATAGTCCCCCAACTCCCAGACATACACTCACAATCTTTCAGGTATGGCTTCTTTCTTTCTTAATTTTTCAACAGATATACATCCACCATGGTCTAGTGAAAAGTAAGTCTTCCTTCTTAGAACCCAGTCATCCAGTTCCTTCTCCATATGTGACCTGTATCTCTTGCTGCATTTATTAAATAAATATGTATTTTTCTACAAATGGAAAAATTGTTTTGCACCTTGTTTTCCCCACTTATATTTTGACAGTCCTTCCTTATTGTCTTACAAACTGTTGCCTCATTGTTTTTAAGGACTGAACAATATTTGTTGTAGGAATCATAAGCACCCATTCTGTAATGAACTTTGAGCTTATTTCTAATCTTTTGCTGTTATGATGATACACTTCTTTACTTGCGTGTAAGCTCCTTAAGAATAAGAGCTTTTGTCCCACTCATTTTTAATCCTGAAAATTTAGTATAATGTCCAAAGAAAAACAATTAGGTTTTTTTGGTGGTACTGGGGCTTGAACTCAGGACTTCATGCTTACTAGACAGGTGCTCTACCATTTGAGCCACTCCACCAGCTGAGAAAATAATTTTTATGGTGACATATAAGTCTATACAGAAGAAAGGGTTACTGTGGCTGTAGATTAGATTAGTGAAAGTGTGCATGCTTTGGATACATGAAGATCTGGGTTCAATTCCCAGCACCACAAACAATAAATAAAAAGATTAATTAATATGCCTAGGAAAGGGGGGAAAAAACAAGGCCTTACAGAAAAGATGCAGTTGATAGTAGGCCATCTATCTTCATCATCATCACTAAATTACTGAGTGCTACCATGTCTCCTTTAATGCCTACGTTTCTCGTTAATAGATGAAGAAATTAAAGCATATCTAATAAATGACTGAGTTGGGATTAGAGACCAGCAGTCTGACTCCAGAGCCCATGTTTGAAAACTGTGTAAGTGGTCATGGAGAAAGGGAAAAAGGAACTGAAGGTAGAAGAATCATGCCACAGCACCAAGTGCGCAGTATTGTTTATAGAGCAGCATGCAGTTCATTGTGACTTAAGCACTGTTGGGGCCTGGTTGCCCATAGATGCCATCGTAGGGGATGAGGCCAAAAAAGTTGTTCAGTTTGAATACAAGTTGACTAACATATGCCCCAGATATACAATTTCTAAATAAGAAAAGGACAGTTTCCCTTTACTGTAAGTGAACAGACAACTTCATTTCTTTTTCTGAGACTGCTCTGCCATGATGGTGATGCTAGTAGTCTCTGGTTGTGGTGTTTTATTCACCATGAGGACTTCAGGGCTTTTTATCCTTTCAAAGCAATAGCATTCAGTTTTGTCTTCAGAGGATACTGTTCTAGTGCTGACCAGATGAAAGCCTTCATTTAACAAAGTATCAATCAGTAAACCAAGGACATTTGTTCCATTGGCCAATTTTCGGTTATCAGGTTTTATGGAAACATACCTGGGACACACAAAAAAAAGTTTAATTATAAAGCATTCCATTAATAACTAGCAAAACTAGTTACTAGCAAAACTTATAATCGCAAATAAACGCATCCTACCTTTTTTGGTTGGTTTGGTTTTCTTTTACTTTTTGAAACAAGGTCCTGCTATGTGACCTAGGTTGGCCTGAAACTCACCATGTAGCCTAGGCTGGCCTCAATCTTATAATCCTCCTACCTCAGCTTCCTGAGTGCTGGATTACAGAGGCATATGCCACTACACCTGCCATCATACCATTTTTGATCAGAATATTTTTGAGACTTCATTTTCAAATCCAAATCAACAACTTTAGGTACTGAAAAGAGACCTTGCTGTGATTTCCAAAGTCATTTCAAGTCCACATTTAAGAATACAGCCAACATTGCTGGGCGCCAGTGGCTCATACCTATAATCCTAGCTACTCTGGAGGCAGAGATCAGGAGGATCACGGTTTGAAGCCAGCCCAGGCAAAGAGTTCTCAAGAGCCTATCTTGAAAATACCCAACACAAAAAACACAGCTGGCAGAGTGGCTCAAGTGGTAGAGCTCCTGCCTAGCAAGTGTGAGGCCCTGAGTTCAAGCCCCAGTACAAAAAAAGAATACAGCCAATATTAATGAATTTTCTCTGAAAAATTACTTTCTGTAGCAATTTGATCACATAACTAAATTGAGTTAATTTTTATAGTATAACTTAACTATTTCTAGGGTTTTTTTTTTTTGGTTTTCAATTTGCTACTTTTGCGCAGTTTGATTAACTGATTTAATCATTTTCATGACTACTTTATACATTTACAATTTTCTACCAGATCAAATTTTACCAATTATTAGTACTGACATTATGAATTTTTTGAGACTTATTCCTATCAAATCCATTTTTTTCAGGTGAAATTTTACAGATATAAGATGGCAAGATTCTGTTGTCAGTTTTTACTCAGTAACCGCTCATTGTCAGTAAGCAAAAATTTGGGATCAAAGAATCTCTGGAGTGAAAATAGCAGCAACCTTTATTCCCTAAGCAATTCCACAGAACCAAGAAAAAATATGCCAAGCTGGACTTCATACCTATAGTCACAGTTGCCTGTAAACCTAGCTACTCAGGAAGCTGAGATTGGAAAGATTGAGGTTTAAGACCAGCCTGAGCAAAATGTTTGCAAGACCCCATCTCAGTGGAAAAAAAGTGGGAAGTGGTGGTACATGCCTGCCGACAGCAGCAGAAAGTGTAAAATAGGATATTGGTCCAGGCTGGCCTGGGCAAAGACAAGCAAGAGTCTATCTCCAAATAACCAGAGCAAGAAGGACTAGAAGTATGGCTGAAGTGCTTGGGTGCCTACCTAGCAAATGGGAAGCTCTGTGGTACCAAAATACCACAAAGGGGAGGAAAAATGCCTGAACTTCAGACTGATTATATGTTGGTTTTTACAACATCAGTATAACATATCTGCATAGACATAGCTATATTACTCCTTCCTTTTCTGCCATCAAGGATGTTTTTTATTTGTATCTTCCCATTGTTTATGAGATGTGAAGACTAATCTGGATCAGTTCCTGGCAGAAACCTAAACTGTCTATAGTTCTATGCCATAAAAAGATGCTTGAATACATCCCTAATCCTTTAATGATCATGACTGAATGTGATTATTTAGTTCACATTTAGAAACTTATTCTAGGCAAAGAAAAAATAGTATAATTATCAAAGTACAAAGCACAGTTCAAAAAATTTGTATTTAATACAAGAAAATTTTAATATTAGTAAATCATTTCATACACACCCAAGTCCCAGATCTTAATTATATCTTCTAGAAACACTTGTCAGAAAGTTACAGAATATCTCATAAAAGAATCAAGATACAAATAATGAATGGCAACAAGTGGAATATATTTGCAAGAAATCACTGGAATCATTGATTCCTTATGAGGCCAAACTGATAAGCAAATATTTCAAAGCACAAAAAAGAACGACTAAAAGAAACCAATGGGAAGTAGAAAACTAAACTTTTTTTTGACAGTGCCTAGGGTGCACTGCCTTTTGGGGAAGTAACTCTTATTTTTAAAAACTTAAAGGCAACTATACTTTCCCATCTCAGCTAGTTTGAAAAAGAGGTCAGACAAGAGCAAAGTCTATCAGAGAGACTCTAGAATCCTGGCCATAACTTGAGCGGAATACTGTCCTATCACATGAATGGCTATCTGAAGGATGGTAGCCAAGCACGTCTAGTACTATGAACTTGAAGGATAATGGAACAACTTGTTAGATTAACAAGACCTGAGAGTAGAAAATCATATTGGTAGACCATAATGAATTAAGTTAGATGTTATATCAGACTTTCAAGAGCTATTCAGGCTTATTCTACCGTTTTCCACCTTCTAAAAACATCTGAATAGATTCAGACTAAGGAATGAGCAAAAAACAAAAATAACTGCCATTTAGGCAGTTATATGCTGAAAAATGGGCTTTTTAAGTCCAGAGTTTTTACCCAGGCACCATAGATCTCTATGTCACTTTATTCGGATTATCTGAACTTTGAAACTGGCACTATATAAAAAACCAGAAACACATGATGGAAAAAAAATCTGAACTTAAAACAACTGAAAATACCATATGGTAATGCAAAAAAAAAAGTTAACTGAAAAAAAGAGTTCCAGTTTTGGAATTATGTATTATGGAAGTTTAAATATAATGCCTTAGCCGGGTACAAATGGCTCATGCCTATAATCCTAGCCACTTGGAACGCTGAGGTCAGGAGGATCCAGGTTCGATGCCATCCCAGGCAAATAGTTTGCAAGACCCCATCTCCAAAATTAAACAAATCCAAATGAACCAGAGGTGTGGCTCAAGCAGTAGAATGCCTGCTTTGCAAGTCTGAAGCCCCGAATTCAAACCCCAGTTCCACCAAAAAAATAAATATAATGCTTTTTTCACATTAAGTTGTGGGTTTTTTTTTTTAAGTCTGTGCATTTTCTAAAATATACACGCTTAACAAAAAGGTAGAAACTATTTGGCATTGTGAATACACAAAAGTAGTACAATTCTATTATTAATCTAGTTTGTCAAGATTATACTTTCTCCAAGTGCATAATTTTAAAAGAGCATTTATAGTTTTTTCCAAGTAATCTTTTTGCCTAGCCTGTTTTTTCTTAAAATTCATGACATCATTTTTCCTTAAGTTTCTAATTTTTTGAAGAGATCCCAAAAGGACATAATCAAATTTTGTAAGTGAAAAAACTGATTATTTCTCGTTTAAGTACCCCACCAATGGAAATAAAGTTGTGCAGAGATAAAAGTTGATAAAGATAGGGTCTTAGGTTTTCTTCACAATCATCCTATTAATTTGATTGGCTCCCATTTCCCAAAATGACGTTTCAACCTCTTTGGAAGGGCAGGAAACTATAATCATCCTATTAATTTGATTGGCTCCCATTTCCCAAAATGACGTTTCAACCCTGTTTGGAAGGCAGGAAACTAAGGTTTTTCCTCCTACAAATTATAACCAGCAAACCACTTCCAGTCAGTAAAATGATAAGACAGCATTAAGACATTTCTAACAGGGAAGGGGGTAAGGGAGTAGATCCCTGACTACAGGATAGAAATCAGCCTTAGAGTCCAGTCAAAAGAAGGTGAATAATCAGTTCAGGAACAGATGTCCTTAACACATGACAGCCTATCCCAACATTTTGAGTCGTTTAAGAGCCAAGGAAGTTATAGGACACCAATTTGCCATGAGACATACCTGCCTTTAAGGGTGTTTAAAAACAAAGATTCTGCCAGGTACCAGTGGCCTCCTGCAGCTCACACCTATAATCTTAAGCTACTGAGGAGGCAGAAATCAGGAGGATCTCAGTTTGAAGCCAGCCCTGGCAAATAGTTCTTGAGATTATATCTCAAAAATACCCAACAAAAAAATGGGCTGGCAAAACGGCTCAAGTGGTAGAGCACCTGCCTAGCAAGCAAGAGGCCCTGAGTTCAAACTCTGGTATCGCAAAAATATTCTCTTCCACTGAAGAAAATCAGTAGTCAAATTGTAGGAAATCAGGTGAAACTATTCAACTTTTCCTATATGTAAGCCACTAAAAGAATCTGAGAAAATAACAAGATTCATTTCTAAGCCAAATTCATTAGCAATGGAACTCAATCTATAAGATTATTTCCTCCTGTAACTTGAAAAACACAGTTCCAGTTTTCCCTAGGCTATCTTGGTTTATTTCTGTTGTCTCACTTACATAATGAGAATATTGTTTTAGTCTGAAAATCAGTGTCCAGGTTTAGAAATCACTATCCAACTCCACTGGTTACCCCAAAACAGTTTGAGTAAACATTTTTTTCCAAGAAAAGTCTTAGGCATAAGGAACTTTGTTTTGAAGGAAAATGTTAGAAACTGGAATTAAAAAAAGATGCTCAAAGCACAAAATACCTGACTCCAGTTTGGTTATCTGTAATGCTGTCAGAGCCACAATGGAAAACCAGGTCATGATAAGAAGGTCTTTGTGGAGGCAGTGAAACTAAAGTCATCTGAGGAGGGAATGAGTTATTCCAGGTAGGTGTTGTAGGTTGCTCTATAAACACTGTAATCCTCTCAGTTAGCATCTCAATTGTTTTGCTGCAAGAGCCAAACACTCTGAAAAAAGCTTGAGTGCTTCGGTTTAGGAAATGCACCTCCAGGACAGCAGGTCTTAGTTGGAGCAGGTGTTGGTTTAAGAGATCAACCAGAGAATCAAGTTCATAGAAAAGAGCCTCCCTCTGAAGCCTAAGATAGTCCGAAAAGCCAGAGGGTAATAAAAGCTGGTGGGTTCTCAAAAAATCTAAGATGAAACTAAATAAAACACCATCTCTGTCCACAAAAATCTGGCCATCAATCATCTTGAATTCCTGGTCTTTGCCAGCTAACATTCGTGCCAAACGAGAGGCAGGAAACTGCTTCATGGTAGAAAGCCTTGTTGTGAATATCTTCCCTCCCACATTCAAAGTGACCAGTTCCCGACTACTCATTCTTCCCTGCCTTTAAACTACAGGCTATACACCATCAGCCACTAAAGACTTATGAGGAACTTGTAAACCAGTCTGTTATTATAAATGTTGTTCGTTATATATGATTAAGAAACAGAGGGGAGGGGAGAATAACAAAACCCAGAGACCTAGATTCCCAGGTAACAATCTTAAAACAAACAGTGTATCCATAGTTTGTGTTTGCAAATTTGAGTTGCTTGGGAACTTGCAGTTTACATAGTCAGCAGGTGAAACTGAGTAATTTAAGGAAAAGTGCCGGTGTATCTGAGGACAGATGGCAAATAGATCCCTTTCCTATATTCCATTTTTACAAAATCCTCTTGGGTTGGGAATGCAGCACAGTAGTAAAGTTCTTGCCTAGCATGTGCAAGGTCTTGGGTTCACTCCCCAGCAGTGAAAAATTCTCTGTGAAACCTGGTGTAAATCTGTGATTTAAAACAAATACAAAAAATTACTGGGAGCAGAAAAGCACTCTTCCTTCACCAGACCTTTTACTTCCTCAGTGCCCTTATGGCAGAGGTGAGACTTATAGAGAAACATTGTCTGAATTTCCTGAGATCCTCACAAGCAGTTTTGTGGCTAAATCATGAATTTGTTAGGAATGAGGCAGTGGTTACCTTACCTGGCAGTTTGACTCACAGAAGGAAATTATTTCTTCTGTAAGGTTTGGTTGCCATCTTTTTTTCTGTGCCTGTTTACATTACCTCTTCTTAACCAAACTAAAGGACTGGGATAAAGACACTCTATTCTCAGAAATTGTATTCCATTTAATTGACTTTCAAAGGAATGCTATTTCCCATGACAGAAATAAGGCAGACTAAAAAGCAGTTTTAAGGTAAGCATACTTCTATGTTTTCTCCTGAATTCTAAGCAGGAACAAGAAAATTAAGTTTTTTGTTCTGTGGGCATCTTGATTTCATATAAGCAGATAGGGCAGAATCAGTATGCAGCTGGTTACTTGGTTTTATAATACCTGACATACTTTCATCTGTTGTCAAATTAGTCTTACTGTACCTGAAAGTCTGTAAGCACATGGACTGGTCTGGTGGTACAGTTGCTGTGATACAACTTTAGAACCACACACTTAGCTGCCAGTGAAAAGGTGGCTTTCCCATTTCCTGCTCTTGCCATGTGTTATCTTTAAAAAAAAAAAAAACTATGCCTTTGCACAGCCACTTAAGTTTGTCATCTTTGGTGAAAAATTCGCAAAAACTAATGAGAATAAGACTTAAATCTCTACCCTCCTAAAAATGTAAACTTATATAAATCATAAGAGAAATCAGAGTTTTTGTTTATGTAAGATTTATATTTCAGTGAGAAAGGAACCAACCCTCTAGTAAAACTTGGAAATTAAAATCTAGTCACACTTCCTTTTTTAAAAGAAAGTTTACTATCAAAAGTTCTTTGTAAGACTGAGGTCTTTATTGTACACTTGATGAACAATCACCATTTCCCTACCTACCTCATCAATGCAACATTAGATCATGTATTCTCTCACTTCCTGATTTTTGTATTTTGTCTCACTCTTGAGGTTCAAGAAATCTTCCTTTCTCAACCTCCTGAGTAGCTAGGACTACAGGTATACTCACTTTCCATTTTCATCACAGCATAAACAGCCAAAGTGGGGTGAGGGTATTTATTTTAAAAGCACTCTTTTAAAAAGGAAGGAAGGGGTGCTGTACACTACTGTTAAATTTCTCTTTTATCTTAATGCTACCTAATTTGAACATTGTATAGGACATTAATTCTTGGAAGAAAATGACTGGAATCTAGACTAAATCTGATTATTCTGTTCTCTAACAACTTCTACCCTCCCACCCCCAAAAAAACTACATAGTTGATACAGATTTTATAATAGTTTATATTTGCACACAAATTCTGCCACATTGTTCAGTACCACCAATGTAAAATTCTTGACTCTTTCACTGAAAATGAAAAACCCATCAGTCATTTGTTCCCAATAAAAAACTGACTGTTCTATAAAAACAGATGATTTAGTAAGGTAAGAACTGAAGTTTGAAAGATGGTCTTTCCAAGTTGCCAATTCATCAAGTAAGGACCATTCTAGGAAAAGGGTAGGCCCAAAGAAAATGAGGAGTCCAAGCATTAGGACTACCACAAATAACTGATAGAAGATCCAGGGTATCTTGCTAATGAATGTGCCAGTGTCCTGAGGTAGAGAAAGTTTATCCACATCTACTAGTTTTATATCCTCCCACTGACTAGTGTCAAAGTTCTTCAATAAAGGGCTTGTGGGCAAATTAGAGGGAGGCAAAGGAGTTTCTTTGATTACTTTGATCTTCTCCCTGAACTCTTGCATCTGTTGCAGAAATATAATGGGTTCTGACACATCTTTGAAAGCCTCGGCAATGTTAAAGGCCATTCGTTGTTCCTGCAAAATGGTGTTGAGTTTGTTGATCTCTGGATCATAGGCTTGCATAACTGCAAGTTTCATGGTCTCAAAGTCAGACAGGATTTCATTCTTCTTTTGATCCAATGTGTGTTGTAACTTCTCAAAAAACTCCTTCACTTTATCTGAATCTTTAGTCAGTAACTGTAGGGATTTCCTCTTGCTAGTTTCCAAGGTATCCAAGCGAGAAAGAGCATCTCCTCGACGCCAGGTCTCAAAACTCTGGAAGAGGGACTCAAAGGCATCCCTTTCCTGAGTATAGGCATCTTCAATGGAACAGAAGACATGCTTGGTGTGGTCACCACGAGTCGCACAGATCCCACAGATGAGCTGCATATCAGTTAGGCAGAAAATATTGAGAGGCTGCCCCAAGTGTCCTTTGCACACTGGCATTTTGGGAGAGATCTTGATTTTGTTATACTTCTCCACAATACCCTTCAGGGAGTAATTAACCTGCAGGCTATTAACTCCCGCAGCTGAAGTTTCCTTACGGCACGTAGGGCACTTGAATGGGGATGGTCTCCACAATGAATTCCGCACATTTCCCTCTAAGAGACCTTCTAAGCATTTTTTGCAGAAGTTGTGTGAGCAAGGCAAAACTCGAGGATCATCAAAGAGACTGCAACAAATTGGGCATGTGAGATCTTCTTCAAGCAGCTCCATCACATCCTATCACAGAGAAAGAAACAATTTATTTTACTCTGGTAATCCCCTCCACTAGGACTATGTAATAACTAAAAAAGGCTATCTTCATATCAGAATGACCTATTACTGAAATAACTAACCAAAGGAAGTAAGAAATTTGGGACGGGAATGCACACCGAAGCAGATTTAATCTACTGGAACGAGAATATGCTCCTTGTTAGTAGGACACCCTGGACACAAGGCCTTTGTGTGGGCTTTCCAACAACAGTCTGGCTAGGACAGGGTTAGGACTAGGACAACTGCAAGTTGAGCCAGCAGGACCCGCCAATTGTTGTAAAACAGAGAGCTGACTACAAGCTGTCAGAAACAAAGCTTCTCAGTGTCTGTAACAGAATGAGCCCTTTACTTTGGGCCCACAAATATTAAATGGTATGCTATTTAAAATAAGCACAGAAATACAAATTCAATCATGTACTCTTGTGCAGACTTTTATTAGGAATCCACATACTTTTTCAGAGGCAAGATTACAATTATAAAATCATAGGTAAAAAGCCCAACAGAACTGCAATTCAGTCTTGCCAAGAGAATTAAATGTTTGTGTTGTTTTTAAACACAAGAGCAATCAAACCATTCTATCAATCACCCATAGCATCCATTTCTCAAAATGTGATGGGTGAAAACCTGTGTCCCTCTTTCAGAGAATTTGTGAGGTCAAAACTATTTTCGTAATTTTGCTACATGTTGATACAAAATGAGCTCGTAACTTTAAGAAAAACAAATGACAGTATTCCTTGCCAATAAAAATATTGCCTTTTTACTTGAGAACTACATGTATTTGCTATTTATGAGCTTGACAGCTTCCCATTAAAGACTTCTCAGCTGGGAGAGTGGCTTAAGTGGCAGAGCATGTGCATAGCAAGTGTGAGGCCCTGAGTTCAAGCCCCTGTACCAAAAAAAAAAAAAAAAAGACTTCTAATGCGATGGGTGGGGATACTAGTAAATGTGAGGGCTATCTTTTCTGGAGGAGAATTACATAATGAAGTACACCAGTATCTGGATTTCTGCATAACACAAATGAATGGAGATTTTCAAGTCACCAATGGATAATGTTATGAGTCATGCACGGGTAAATGATCCATTTAAAATATGAGAAAAGACTAGGAATGTAGCTCAATGGCAGAGCACTTGGCCTCCCTGAGTTCAATCCCAACATCACAAAAACAAAAAAATAAAGCATAAGAAAAACCAACAGGCTCCCAAATAAGATTTCATATCTGTACTATAACAAAGAAACTACTATAAGCTCACTTTTAATATAGTATCTGCAAAGGCTATTAAAATATTACTCCCTTTACAACTATAGATGTGTGTAAGGCCAGATTTTTCTTTGTGTATTTCAAGCAAAATAGTTTACTCAAACAGCTCAAATGTAGAAGCAGACAACTACAGATATCTTCTATTAACTAACCATTCAGGGCTGGGGATGTAACTCAGTGGTTAGAAAACATGTTTCTTAGCATACACAAGACCCTAAATTCAATGTCCAGCCTGGCCTACCGCCACTCTAAAAAAAGAGAGAAATCTGCAAGTATATAAAGGAATACTACTTTTCTCACAATTTTGTTTGGGAAAATTTTTCCTAAAGTATTTGTTAACATGTGATGGGTTTATCACTGTTATTTAAATTAGTATTTTTAAAAGTCTTTCATTTTCCTGGATTGGCCTCAAACCTCGATCCTCCAATCTCAGTTTCCCAAATAGCCAGAATTATAGGTATGGGCTACTGGCACCCTGCTAAAAGTTCATTATTTTTAAAATGTACATTCATCCATAAGACTTAAAACCAAAAACAGTGCTCAATTTCTTCACAGTTTAATCAGACACTTACCATATTACCACAATAATAAAGAAGGGCCTCATAATTTATAAACCATCCTATTATACAATAACTTGGAGAGAGGAGCTTTACACCTGCTAAGCAGATAGTCTACCACTGAGCTACACATCCCAGCCCCTGTTATTAAATACTGTTAAAATAAGTTTAACAGTCTTCATTGGTACAAGAAGGAAAATGTATTTAAAAGATAAGCTGAGCTTACAAGGACAGTTTACGGCTTTATATTAGGTTGTAAGATATATTTACATTTTATATAATTGTGGTAACCATTACTTTATCTCAAATTTAATGCCCTATGACAAAACCACATAATTAGCTGGATTTTCAAAATCATTAACCTTTGAAAAGCACTGGGAAAAGAATGGCTCTAAAAACTAAGATTAGTGTGCTAAGAGAAGTTACCATGCAGCTGTGAAGTATTCTGACTGTAACTAGTCCTGCTCCCCACACTGTCACCTCCACTATCCTGCCACCTGTCTCCTGAGAATCCTACACAAAAGCCTGATTTTCAAGGAGGCAGCAGAAACAATAAAGTAGTGGGGGCAATACTCAATAAAGTAAACCTCATTTATTCTTTTTCACAAGGTTAATATTTTCAGAGAACTCTATCCAAGAACATTAAATAAGCAAGTGGAAAACAAAGGATACACTAAGTCGTTAGGATGAAGAGGAGGCAAAGAGAAACTTTGGAGAAAATGGAGAAGGGTGCTGAAATAGGGGCCAAAAAGAACTTTAAGGCATCAAGTATGATCAAAAGTGAAAAGCAGAAAATGTCACACACAGGAAAATTTAGAAGTAATAAAACAGTCATCTCAAAGTCATAATCAACTTACAGCTCTGAAAATGAACCCGAGGGGAAAATATTACTTGTAAAGTCTTTAAAGAAAAAAAAATGGAGCTGGGCACCAGCAACTCACTCCTGTAATTCTAGCTAGTTGGGAGGCTGAGATCAGGAGGATCAAGGTTAGAGGCCAGCCAGGGCAAACAGTTCATGAGACTCCATCTCCAAAATAAACAGAGCAAAATGGACTGGAGGTGTGGCTCAAGCGGAAGAGCACCTGCTTTCCAAGTGCAAAGTCCTGAGTTCAAACCCCAATCCTACAAAAAGAAAAAACAGGCTGGGAATATAGCTCAGGGGTAGAATGCCTGTCTAGCATGGACAAGCCCCTGGATTCAATCCCCAGTACAAGAAGAAGAAAAAAAAAAAACATCAAAATTACAACAGATTCCCATGTTCCACTTTTAATGAGACAGCTCACAAATTCTCCTTTAAAAGTTAAAAGATTATCTTCATTCATTTTCAAAACTAAACATTTTTTTTCTTCCCTTATATTTACACCTCCTTTATACTCAAAACTTTCTCTAGGACAAAATTATATGACTATTTCCTAGTACCTGTTAGAGAAAATTGAGATACATTAGCCTGATCCAAGAAACCATAGCAGGAAACAAAACTTTTGTTGCCTCAAAAGTTATAAAGGGCTGGGTGCTGGTGGCTCACACCTGTAATCCTAGCTACTCAGAAGGCAGAGGTCAGGAGGATCACAGTTCAAAGCCAGCCCAGGCAAACAGTTTGCAAGATTCTATCTTGAAAATACCCAACACAAAAAAGGGCTGGCAGAGTGGCTCAAGTGGTAGAGCACTACCTAGCAAGCGTGAACCCCTGAGTTCAAATTTCAGTACCAACAAAAAAAAAGTTTTAAAGGAAAATACATAAGCTTTTTAAATCTTGTGAAAGTTAAGTTTCTTAAAGCATGATGACACATAAAATCTGAAGTCAGCTGCTCACACCTTAGATGTAAACTAAAGCATACATCCCTTCCATCTCTTTTTTTGCTTAGTATTTACCCAATATAAAAGAACTTTATACGGGGGGGTGACCTTGTTCAGGGTACAGTGTACACACAACTGAGTCATCACAATGAAAACCCTTAGCATCATTAGTGTGTGCTAATTCAAAAGGTAATAGAACTATTAAAAAAGAAACTTTACATAAACAAAATTGTTTTTCACTGCTAAACTTCAAATTAAGTGTACAACAAGCAAGTTTTCCTAAATTCATTTCTCCCTCAATACCAGGAAAGTCTAAATTTATTATCCCATCCAGAAATTTATTATCCCATCAAGTTAAAATTTCCCAAGTGTTTTGTTTTGTATCAACAATCAAAATAATTAAACATATGCTAGTTGTCCACCACCTCTAGAAAAAAAAAGTCAACCTCATTTTCATGCCATACAGTTTTCTGGCAGTTCTAGGGTTTCAACTCAGAGCCTTGGACTTGCTAAGCAAGTGCTCTACCACTTGAGCCATGCCCTCCAGCCCTTTCTGCTTTAGTTATTTTTAGTTATTTTAGTTATTTTTCAGATGGGGTCTCACACTTTTGCTTCAGGCCAGTGACCTCTGCCTCCTGCATACCTAGAATTGCAGATGTACTACCATGTGCCAGCTTTGTTCTGTGAGATTGCCAGACTGCCCTGGAACCACCATCTGATTACTATCCCTGCCTCCTAAGTAGCTGGGATTACAGCCATGAGCCACCAAACCCAGCCTCATACTTCTATTTTGTGGGGGGGGGAGAAGAGACAAAGATACTGGAGTTTGAACTCAGGGCCTCATGCTTGCTAGCAGGCACTCTGCCACTTGAGCCATCCCTCCAGCTCAATAGTTAAGTATTGAGTCTAGCCAGATGTGGTGGTGCACGCCTATAACCCCAGAACACAGGAGGCAGAAGTTTGGCAAGTTTGAGGCCAATCCAGGCTACATGGCAAGACCCTGTCTCAAAACAAACATGGAAAGTTGGAAAAGGCCAGGCACTGGTACCTCATTGCCTGTAATCCTAGCTACTTGGGAGGCTGAGATTAGGAGGATCAATGTTCAAGGCCAGTCAGGCAAACAGGTTACCAGACCTTTATGAAGCTTAATAAAAAACTAAGAACAAGACACATTTGTACCATACTTAGCTGAGTTTAAAATATAAAACAATTTATACCTCTGCACAACTTATATATAAAATAAGTAAGTTTTAAGAAATCAACCTGGAAGGGAGGAACTGCACTAAAAAAGGAACTTGAGACTCAGAGCCAGATGCAGTTGACCTTGTGGCACCTTGCTTCCATCAAATGTACTATAAAATACATTGTGAGATGGTCATAGAAAGCTGAATATGGGTGGTAAGAATTCTTAACACCCAGAAAATATGGTTAATTTTGTTAAATGTAACAGTGCCATTGTGACATTAGGTAAGAAATTGTATATGGAATTATGCTGCATAAAAAAGTCCTCTTTTTCTTTTAGAGACACATTAAAAATAAGTGACCTGATGTCTGAGACTTCAAGTAGTTCAGCAAAATATGTAAGCTGAGAGAGATACTTAAAGGGGGATATACAATCTGCAAGATGGATATTTGGGGCAGGGAGAATCTCTTGCTTTTGATACATTTAAAGTTTCTTGCAAGTAAAGGTCTGGGTAATTACTACATGAATCTTATTCAAAACTATTGTTCTTAATATGGAATTATTACACATTAAAAAATATAATAAGGCAGTTAACATTACTATGCATCTTTGTATTATGTATCTTCAGAACAGATGGTAGTAAGTTAGAGGGATAGGAAAATAGAAATACTAGGCGTAAAACTATCTTAGCTAAATACCTAACTTTATGAGTAAAACAGACAGCTCCCGCTTCCCCCCACAGGCATGGAGACAGAAATGGGGGGAAACCAAGGTTTGAGGCCTTGGCAAAAAGTTAGTGAGAGCCCATCTCAACCAATAAAAGCTAGATGTGGCAGTACATTACTATGGTTCCAGGTATATACAGGTTGGCGAATGTCAGTCCAAGGTAAGCCCAGACAAAAATATCCAAAAAATTAAAGTAAAAAGGCTGAAGGCACAGCTAAAGTGATAGAGCACCTGCTTAACAAGTGTGGGGCCCTGTTCAAAACCCCAGTACTGCCCCCCCCAAAAAAAAAGCAAGAAAAATTTAGTAATCCTAGGGACCGGCAGTGTAGCATGCTTAAGGCATAGGCTCAATCCTCAGCACCAAAGAAAAAGAAAAATAATTCAGTGTCCTTATTTAAAGAATGATGTCATTTAATCATACGCTTTTCTAAAAAATATCTCCTAAAATCCTTTGCTTTCTTACAAATTAAGCTATAGGAGGCACTCCAGTGAAGGGGAAAGAGCACAAAACCTGTTTCTAGGTTTAAGCACCAGTTTTACCCTTCAGATATGAGGATTTTTATAGTATTTCATTACGTTACTGGAAAAAATTAAGTAATGTGTGAGAATTTTGTAAGCTAAACTGTATAAATGTAAGCTATTTAATAATGTGTGAACAAACGCTGTGAAAACTGTAAATACACAGTTAAGATGTTATGTTAGTGAATGAGCATTAACAAAAAAGAGCCTAACAGAGCTGTACTCTCTTCAACAGTGATTTCAGCACTGAAGGCATGACTAAAGTCATAGAGCACTGCCAAGCTCAAAGACCTGAGTTCAGACTCCACTACTGGCAAAAACAAACAACCACCCACCAAATAGGGTATCAGGAACAAGTCATGAAAGCAGGGGAGCCTATCTCAACACAAGCTGTGCAAGAAGGAAGGTTAGGGCCTGGGGACTGTGGCTCACAGCTGTAATCCCAGATCAGACGTTACCATAACTATGTAGAATGGAAAGAACAGCTTGATGTTCTGGAAGGACTTGCCAGGGAGGTTTAGTAAAGTCGGCAGGTACCAAAAAAAAAAGAGAGAGAGAGAGAGAGAGAGAGTGTGTGTGTGTGTGTGTGTGTGTGTGTGTGAAGTCGGCAGGTACCAAAAAAAAAGTGTGTGTGTGTGTTAAGACAGGTACCAAAAAGTGTGTGTGTGTGTACCAAAAAAACTGTGTCTGTGTTTTCAGAAAGGATACAAGAGCCTGACAAAATGTATCTTTAGGGGTGGAGCACTTGCCTGGCATGCCCCAGGCCCTGGCAAAAAAAAAAAAGTAAATATAATTTTAAAACAAGAACTGAATCTTCTACTAGTTGTGCAAGAAAGAAGTACAGCCAGTTAGTATATCCAGTTAATCAACAGCTCTATGAGGTTCCACTAGAGGGAAGGCCTATGTAAATGAAATTCTACTTTTAAAATTCCTAATTATGTGAGCTGAAGGTGTGGCTCAAGTGATAGAGTGCCTGCTTTGTGAGCTCAAAGCCCAGTCCCATCAAAATAATAATAAACAATAATAAAATAAGGTGCCTAATTCACAGAGGTCTATAGAGTTATAGAGAACTCAAGCCCTGATCTACAGTCTGCCTGACAATTCACCAGGCAAGAAAAAGGAGAAGGAAGAAAAAAAAAAAAAAACTATAAAAAAAGCTGCTGAAACCTGTGTCTTTCTTTGCAATATAAATCTTCTGATATAAGCTTCTAAAATGATTAGAAATTATTATTTCATAGTAAATAAGAATTCTATCTCACAAAGACCTGTCGAGCGTGGATTCTGTATTTTGAGTTTTGACAGACCGTGACGAGAACAAAGGCCCCAATGAGAGAAGTGGACGGGAACAAGGATATTGTGGCAGCTTCAGTTTAGGGCTCCGGGGGCCTCGTGCAGCGGGGCGCTTTTCTGTGGGCGTGGGGGGTGCGGTGCGGGGTTACCTCTGTGGCCGGAGGCAGATGCACTGGGCAGGCACTGTTCCCCAGGACAAAGCCACCAGGCTTTCCTTTCACGTGCTCACTGACAAACCAGAGGCCGCTGCAGAGGAGAAAGAGGCTGGTGTCATCCACGGAGTCTGCATGCTTTACCCTCAAATTTTTCAGTCGCCCCCACAGATAAAGCCAGCCAGCAAGAACAGAGGGCGGGGCGAGGGAGGGCCGGCGTCTTTGTCCCAGCGCCTCCCCGGCGCCGCCACCTCTCGGCCTGGGCACGGCCCCGACCGCGCTGGCGCTCGCCGCCTCCTCTAGGCGCGCCGGGACTGAGGAGCGGGCTGACCCGGGCCCCGGCGGCAGCCCTCCCGCACGCTGACTCCCCACCCACGAAGCGCCCGCGCCCGCCCGTCGCCTCCCGCCCTGCCTGCAGCCTGGGTCTCCCCTCCTCCTTCGAGGGGACCGGGCAGAAGCTACTTATCTCGGACCTCCGCGGCCGCGGGGCGCTCCGCGGACCGCAGAGCCGCCAGCTGTGGGAACGGCGCAGCAGACACCCAGTACGGCCGCAAAAAATGGACCCGCCGCGCCGCGCCGCCGGGCCCCGCCCTCCTCAGCGCCAGCCAGGCTCCGCCCCCGCCTTCCGGCGTCGCCAACCGCCGTCTCCGCCCGCTCCGGCCCGGCCCGCTGAGGGCGGGGCTCGCTTTCCTCCCTTCCAGGGCTGCGCGCCGTCACCGCGCCGACGGGCCTGGAAGGCGACCGGCCACTGCGCGCGCGTTGTCCCCGGCCCAGCCTCCGGGGAAGGAAGTCTCCCAGTTGAGCAGACGGGCAACAACATGGTCGGGTTTGGATTGTTGTACTTTTTTTTTTGTTCGTTGCATTTTTAGGAACAAAAAAAAAAGCCCAACCCTTCACACCGCTTCATCTGCATCTCGGGACCAGAAGGCCATCCGCTCGGGGTCACGGCTCCCTTGCCCGCGCCGGTGCCCCAGGAAGAACTGTAAAACTGGTTCCAAATCGTCCGCCCTTCACAGTTGCCCAGTCGCCAGCTGCGCCCCAATATCAGACGCAGTCAGCACTTGCTATGAGCGGTCTGAAGGATTCCGTCCTGCCCCGGCGAAGCGAGGCGAGCGCAGGGCTCCCGGGCGCCTAGGGTTGCGTTCGCCCGCTCGAGGGGAGGAGAGCTTTGGAGAGGAGCAGGTTGTTTGGAAGAAAAGGCTTTCCAACCCGTAAAAAAGCCCCTCGCCACTCCACGTTGCGCATCTCCCTGGCCGCAGCCAGGTGACAACTTGTACAATAGTTCTTAAAATGACTGTACTTAGTCCTCATGAGAACACTGCGGAATGGGAATTATCCCTGTTCTATAAACGAGGAAACGGTGAAGTGACTTCTCCAAGGCGAAAGGCAGAGCGGAGGCCACAGTCAGATTCCACACGCCCTTTCTTCCTTCACCCCAACACTGCCAATGAAAACTACACCCCAGTCCCTACTAAATTAGTGTTATTTAAAATAAACTAGTTTATGGAAACATTTTCAGTGCCCTATTAACAGTGAAAATTAAGTTAACTCATAAACCCCAAATTATCTTTAATGTAATTATATAATGCATATTTGTACAAATAGATCTGGTCGGTAGTGGATAGTAATTAATAAGCTGCCCAACCAAATGTAAAACACGTGTGAAATCTGTTAAAATCAACTACTAAGCAAAAAGCATAGTATATTAAACTCCAGTGTAGAAAAATGGGAAAGAAAGAACAGCCCTCTATCTCCTCCCATGATCCTAAAACACAAAACAGCAAGGACATTGCCACATGACCTGTGCTCAAAAAGAAGATCAGCTGTCCCATTACAGCCTGCACACACAGCTGCATCCTTCCTGCAACGACACAATGCAAGGAGATCCTGGGAGTGATAACACAGGGATAGTCAAAATTCTTGACCCACTGGAATTTCCTTCTATTGACTGTTTTTCAAATACGCTAATAGCTGAAGCTTGAAATTCACATATCAGCATAGCAGTCAGTCTTAAGTGAGTTTTCTGGGTTTTGTGATATATAGGCTAGAGTTTCTTGTGTGTGTGTGTGTGTGTGTGTGTGTGTGTGTGTGTTACACAACTGTATGTGTACTTATTGGGTTGATTTATTTCATGGTGGGTTTTTTGTCCTGAGCCTTGACAAAGATAGAAAGCTTCTTAGCAGTTCTCCCCACTTACCAAGACCTAAGTGATGAGATACTGTTCCACAACAAAAACCAGTGTGGAATTTAGTGTACATGGCAATTAATTGTCCAGTGAGGAGCACCTCATCACTAAGCCCGGAGCTCATGTGTACACAAGAGAGCTACTGGTGAGCCTCCCCAGATACAGTGGAACATAGCTGCCAGAGTTAGGAATGCAAGCCCCAACCTCCCCCAGTGAAAATTCCTATCAAAAAAAGGCACGACTGACATCACAGGACATAATGCAGGCTTTAGGATCAGTTCTGTATCCAAATTCTAGCTTTTCACTCACTAGTTGTTAAAGTTCCTTGGTATCTCTGAGTCTTAGGTTTTTTTCCTCTGTAAAATGAGGTTTATGATACATCTATAGTTATGATAATTAGGTGATATGTAAACTACTAACATGCTGTGTGTCATAGTTGGTGCTTAACAAATGATTGCTACTGTGACACAGAAGAGAAAAACCAAAAAAGACACTTTGGTTTGGGTTACAATGCCTTGGATTTGCAAGCATGAGGCTCAAGCACAATAGTCAAGCAGAGCTGAGTGGCATCTGCCTAACTTCTGCTTTTCAGTGTCTATCCCAGAGTATATATGCTTTTAAAAGCATATATCCAGTGGGCACCGATGGCTCACGCCTGTAATCCTAGCTACTCAAGAGGCAGAGATCGGGGGATCAAGGTTTGTGGCCAGCCTGAGCAAATAGTTCATGAGACCCGATCTCCAAAACAACCAGAACAAAACAGACTAGAAGTATAGCTCAAGCAGTAGAGTACCTGCTTTGCAAGTGCAAAGCCCTGAGTTCAAACCCCAGTTCCACAAAAATAACATATATCCTTCCATTTATCTCCCCTTTCCCTTGTGCCTAAGCAAAGGAGAGAAAAAGGGAAACTCAGAATGAAAGGAGAACTCATTCAGATTTTTAAAAGCTCTATATTTTTAGAAAAATTGAACATGCAAAATATTCTGTTAAAGGGGAAAAAAAATCTACCTTTAAAAATACATTAACCGCAAAAGACAGAAACTTACATAAGACTTAATGAGATTGAAGAAAATTCCAGACTCCATATATTTCATTTGCACAGTGAAGAACATGCATCAAACAGAGCTGAAAGTGAAATCAGATAGCTTTGTAAGAGAATTAGAAACAATGGTAAACTTGGCCTTTAGTTACCTTGTTTCAGTAGATGGAAGGAAAAATTTTGAGAATAAAATAAGTCAGCAATTAAGTAATACTAACATGCTTATAATTTTATACTCAGATTTTATAACTCTCAATTCTGCTAGGCACAAAAAGTAACAGTTGAGGAATTTCCCAGTTGGTTAAGAAACAAGTACTGTTGCTGAGTAACAGTGCGTAATAACGGATATCTAAGAACCAAAGTGAGTGGTAAGGACAAGGCCAGAGGAGGGCACTAGAAACTGTGCAGAGGACTCCACCAAGGAGATGGGAGTTGAACTGAACCTTTAAAGATCACAGGATTTGAGGAAGAGAAAGAGGAAGAGCATTTGAGATGAGGAACACAGCACAAGTTCAGAGTGGAAATAAGCTTTGTTGGTGAAACAAGAGTGTGGCCTGTTTTGGAAATACAGTTTAAGGCCAAATTGTGGGATGTTTCAAGTATCAGAATAAGGAGTTGAACTTCATTCTGCAGGAAATTGGGAAGCCACTGAATAATGCAGTTGGCACTAACAAGGTAAAAGCAGAATTTTATTTTTAGCAGAACTGGATTTTGAACTCAGGACCTTGTGCTTGCTAGACATGCACTATCACTTGGGCCACTCCACCAGCCCTTTTGTACCTCTGGTATTTCTGAGATAGGGTCTCCATTCTGGAATCTCTATCCTCCTGATCTTTGCCTCCAGAGTAGCTAGGATGATAGATGTGAGCCACTGGTGAAAGCAGAATTTTTAAGATTAATCTGATAAAAAAAATCTAAGATTTAAGGGAGACATTCTCTTTAATAATTAATGATTTTTGTTATTGAAAATGATTCTTTTTTTTTACAATTCAGTAATGTAGCTGGGTGTTGTGATTCGTGCTGTAATCCTAGTATTCAGGAGGCAGAGGTAAGAGGATCATGAGTTCTAGACCAGCCTGGACTATATATGGAGACACTGTCTCAAAAGCTAAAAAAGGAATAATGTATATAAAAATGCAGAATATATCTTCCAGTCCTATTGGGCCATTTAATTACATATATCTATTAATTTGTAAATAAAATATAATGTAAAAAGAATTAAGCATGGCAAATATTCTCCTAAAATCTCAAGAAGAAAAAATGTGTGCATATATTTACATATCAAACATTTGTATAATTAATCTTACTGTAAAACTATGCTGTATAAATGACCAACGTTAGTATGTTGCTTAACTACATTTTAGACTGTGCCTCACTAGATCGTCAAAAGACTGTTACCTGTATAGTTCTAAAAGGTATTATTGTTTTGATATTTTAACAACCGTTGATTATAATTCCTGAATATGTATATTTTTCACAAGAATACTTTATGAGGGCCTTTAACAGAAGATTAACTCAGGTAAAGACTAACTAATAAATACTGTATATCTGCAATTGTTTGAGAACTTGATTTGTTTGTTGTTTATTTTGAATTTTCTGTTAGTTCACTAATAATCATGTGCTTGATTTCATGTTGGCAATCTTATTTTGCTTTAGAAAGCTATCTTCCATCTCTTCTGTGGGAATTTTAGCCTGTTTCTTCTGCAAATAAGGGTGCAACATGGGTGGGGGATCTGCAGTTTTCAGTAGCTAATTTCTGCATGTTAAACATACTCTGTCTTAAGGTTCATAGTATATCTCATAGAACTTTGTTTCTGAGAATCTAGATTTATCAGAAACTTGAAGAAGCCAGACACCAGTGGCTCACACCTGTAATCCTAGCAACTCAGAGCCAGAGATCAGGAAGATGGCAGTTGGAAGCCAGCCTGGGCAAACAGTTCATGAGACCTAACTCAAAAATATGCCGAACACAAAAAAGGGCTGATGGAGTGGATCAAGTGGTAGAATACCTGCCTCACAAGCATGAGGTCTTGAGTTCAAACCCCCGTGCCACTCCCCCCCCCCCGCAAAAAAAAGAAACCTCACTGTGCAAGAAATGCATGCTTTTTTTTTTTTTTCCTCCTAAATTTGAGCCCAGTTGGGTCTCTGATGTCAAAGCATTTGGTAATAATCGCCTTGTCAAACTGTTTGTCTTACAATGGTCTTGTGTACATGACACCATGAGAATTCTTGCTAGAATTCGGCCAGATCCATAGAAGCTTGGAATGGATCTAAAGCAGCCTATACCCTTCCCAGTCAGGCAAAACACGCCCACAATAATGAAGACACATGAGACTGATTAAAAATAGCAGCATATTTTAGGCATTTTGTAAACTTGTTGACCTGGTGTTGCAAAATCTACCATATTTCTTTCTTTTTTTTTTTTTTGTGACAGGATCTCAGTATATAACCCAAGTCAGCCTTGAACTTGAAATACTCCTGCCTCAGACTCTCAAGTACTGGGTTTACATCCATGTACACCACATCTAGTTTGATCTCTTAGTAGTTCTCTGAGTACCACTATTTCCTTCCTTCCCACCCCCACCCCCAATCCCAGTGTCTCCTAGCCTTTCTTCTTCCAGCTGGTGGACACTTGCTAGATTATCATTTCAACCCAGCACTTAAATTCTGGAAACCCTCAAACTTGTGTGTTTCTTTTGGTGATGGTAGTGCTTTTGCAATACTGGGGATGAAACCCAGGGCCTCAGGTAGGCAAAGCATAGCTTTTCCTCTGAGACACACCCCAGCCACTCAGTTTGAGGACTCTCAGGACTTCAATGATCAATTCATGATTCTCATATTCCCTGTAAAGCAAGGATCCCAAATTCATTGTAGTTCAACTATTTTTAAAACATAAAAACTGAATTTAAATACTTTAGGAGAGACATGCTCTTTCTCCTCCCACTGTCACAATCCTTCCTGTCTGCAAACATCCTTAGTGCTCTTGAGGCCTAAGGCTTATCTTCCTTCCAGCTTCACAGCTCGGACCTCCAATACTTCCTGCTCTTCTTCAGGCCCCTCACCAGCCCTCTCCTGTCCCTGTGCCCCAACCACAATACAACTGAATGACCTCAGGTTAGCATTACAGGTCCCTCTTAATCATTTCATATTGTCCTATACATTCCCATGATGCACACTGCAATTTGATATTTATTTACGTAAATATTTGAATATGGCTTGTTTCTCTGATTAACTCCAGAAGGTCTGGGATTGTGCGTGTGTATACACATGCATGCATATGTGCATTCATCATTGCATTCCCAGCACCTAATCCAGTTATTTCATACAAGTTTTAGGAAGTAAGAGTTCTCTATTTCAAAGATTATTGGTGAATTTAAAACTTCTAAAAATTGCTGTTGAGAAATAGGCACTTTGTTTTATTTTATTTTTTAAAGGTATCTTTCCATCCTTTGTTTACAACAGTAGTGCTTATCATACTCCTATGGTCAGACTCCTTCCATAGTTTACAAAGATGTGTCAGTTGTCTATTTTTCACCATCTAGAAGATCTCTTAAAATGAAAGATAAGTTCATGAGGTAGTCCATAAAGAATCCTCATTAAAAAATTAAGAACTTCTGAGTTGCAGAGTGGCTCAAGTGGTAGAGCACCTACCTAGCAAACGTGAAGCCCTGAGTTCTTTGAGAACGTCTTCCTAAGCATAAATATTAAGCACTGAAATCTGAAAAAAGACTGGCAGCTGGGAGTGCAGCTAAGAGGTAGAGCATGTATTTCAATATGCAAGCCTGGGCTCAATCCCAAGCACCAAGATAATAAAAAGTCTAAATGAGGCTGGAGATGTAGGTAGGTAGGTAGGTAGATGTAATGGTAGGGTGCTTGTCTAGTATGTACAAGGCCCTGGATTTGATCTGCAGCATCAAAAATAAAAAGATACTACCAAATGAAATGTAAAACTTTACGTTAAAAACCATAATACAGGGCTGGAGGCATGACTCAAGTGGTAGAGTACCTGCTTAGCAAGTGTGAAGCCCTGAGTTCAAACCCCAGTACTGCCCCAAACCCCATAATATGTCATATTAAAATTGAGATATGTATAAGGTATAGCTGGTGAAAATTGAAGTTAGAAACCAGGACATGAGGACAATCTGGCTGTAACATCTGTCACCCTATTAATCACCAGGGTTGATGTGACTGAGCTGGCTGCCTAGGCAGATGTTCCCTTCCTCCCTCACCACTCCTTGTGTGTCCTCTGGACACTGCATGCTCAGTGAAAGAGAATGACTTTCCCTGATGAAGGAGGACTGTTCTTTAAGTCAGGCATATACAAGTAGCTCCTATGCTCCCCTCCCAGAACCTCCAAACGAGCTCTCAAGTTAAAAACAGTGTATGTACTAGGATGCAATTTTTAAAAGAAATGTAATTGATAGAGTGTGAATAGAAAAAAAGTTGTAGGAATATATATCAATTTCTCAACTTAAAAAAAGGAAATATGGAGAAATTTTAGTATTTGTCATCAGAAAATTTTAATTTTTACATTGAACATAGATTCTTTCTTAATGTATACAAAAAGAAAATGAATTTGTACAAGAAAAAGACAAATTTAATTGGAACAAATATATGCAATTTATATAACTACATTACAAATTCTTCCAAATGAATAACAAGACAAACACCAACATAAAAACCAGACCACATATATGAAAAACAGTCCATATGACCAATAAGCATGAAAAAATTTTCCATGCTCATTGATAATCAATTGTCAAGTAAAACATTGACACAACCTTTTAAAATTCATCAAATTGGCATAGATATAAAACATAATAACTAGTAGGTCCCCGCTAGTGGTAGTGCAGGCCATCCAACACAGATGGGTATAACCTGTTGGAGGACAAGTTTCTAACCTATGTCAGAAACATTCAAAGTATATACACTGAATTCTACTGCTGGGAATTTATTTTAGAAAAATAATCATAAATCCCACAATTTATATAGTAAATAGATTGTTACAGAGTTGTGAGATCAAAATTATAACATCCTAATATCTATCAGAAAGAAAAGGATTAAAATGAGTCTTGGTACATGCATACCCAATATTAGTATGTAGTATTTTTTTTTTCCTTTTTAGTGGGATTAGGGTTTGTACTCAGGGCTCCACACTTGCAAAGCAGATGCTCTACCACTTGAGCCACACCCCCAGTCCATTTTGCGCTGGTTATTTTGGAGATAGGATCTCAAGAACTATTTGCCTGGGATAGCCTTGATCCATGATCCTCCCAATCTCAGCCTCCCAAGTAGCTAGGATTACAGACATGAGCCACTGGTGCCCCACTATTTGTTTTGTTTTTGCTTTGTTTTATTGTGGATACCAGATTTCCCTATGTTGCCCAGGCTGGCTCCAACCTTCTGAACTGAAGATCCTCCTGTCTCAGCCTCCCCAATAGCTAGGACTTAGAGGTGTATGTTTTCATGCCTGGCTTCACCCTGATTTTTAGTATGTAGCATTTTATACTGTAACGTACAGACTTAAGATGTTAAAGTAATCGTTTCTGCAATTTTTTACTCTTTTTTGGCAGTACTGTGGTTTGAACTCTCACACTTGCAAGGCAGGCACTTTGCTAGTTGAGCCACTGTGCCAGCCCACAGAATACTTTTTAATGCCTGCATAAATCCATGAATACACTTACATGTACAGAGTATGTAAGGAAAAAGACGGTTAAACCCTGGAGCAGCCATTCATACAAGTCCCTATTTAGGGCACAGTGATCCTGCTACCTTTTTGCACTCAAACTACCCTGGTTAAACACATCACTGGACAGGCAGTGCCTCTACAACCAGGCAAGCTAGAGGTGATGTTCTTGGAACAAGGAGGATAAAACAAGAAAAAGTGGCATTAAAATAGGAAAAAGAATAAGAATTCCAAGAGCTGAATACAGTCTTAAGTGTTAACATGAAGAATAAACTGAGTTCTACTATATAGTAGGGTAATGACAAGTAACAATTATATATTTCAAAAAAGCTAGGAGAAAGGATATTGAATATTTCCACCACAAAGAAATGTATTTGAGTAGATATGTTTACCCTGATTTGAATATTATACATGTAAACATGTATGAATAAATACATTTATATGTTTTAAATTTAAAAATTTAAGAAAAAAAGCATTGAGCCCTGAAAAATCACTATAAAAGCTACCAATGATTTTACAAAAAGAAAGTTCATCTCTGTATTGTAGCCAGAAGTAGGTACAGAAAGTGAAAACATTAAGATCAAATATTTGCTAAGGCCAAGGACTATATAAGATGCTATTCTTTTATTTATTTATTTATTTTTGTCAGTGCTGGGGTTTGAACTCAGGGCCTCACACCATGGAGCTACTTGCATCAATTCATTCTAGAAATCACAGTGGGGAAAGAGGCCTCCCACGGTCACACAGCTCAGTGTTCATTCCACTATAGTCAAGAGTGAATGAGGATAGGGAAGCTGAAACAAGAGACAGGGAGTGCAAACAGTTCTTTTGGAAGCATGGTGGGGAAAGAAGAAGGGGAAAAAGCAATAGATGATAAAAGTAATAGGACAGGGAACCACTGCTTTCATAACAAAAACAAGGCTGCTCCTCCAAGGTTGCACTGAAAAAGAGACCCCAAATGGCTGCAGGGGCTATCCAACCTTGCAGTAGTGAATTCCCAACCCTCTGCCTGCCCAAAGTTATCTTTTCCCTCAGAATCTCTTACTGACGATTTTAGTTCCATCAAAGCCTGTTCAGGTCATTTCATCCATTCATATATGAGGAAGAAATATGACATGACAAAAGGCATTTCTTAACATCCACAGCACAAGTGAAAAGATGGAAAATAGAAAAGACATTCGTAGGTTTTTTTGCTTGGTGGCACTGGGGTTTGAACTCACAATTCCTTGCACTTGCTAGGCAGGTGCTCTGCCACTTGAGCTATACCCTTTGGACTTATCTAAAAAGGCAAGACCAGCCAGGCACTGTGGTACATGCCTGTAATCTCAGCTTCTCAGGAGGCTGAGGCAGGAGGCCCTCGAGTTTGAGGTCAACCTGGGCAAAACAGTGAGATCCCATTGCAAATAAATAGTGATGTACATAAGAAAACAAATCAAGGCAAGGGCAATGTCCTACAATCTTTCAAGGTCACAGTTTAAAAATACAGAATCCTAAAGGACTTGGATGCAGAAGGACTGTACTGGGGGGGTCTGGGAATAGATATTTTAAAGTAATGACAATTATCCTTAAATTCCTGCAAATTCAGTCTCACTGCACTGAAAAGTAACAAAGAGAAATAAACACAGCAGCATAAATACCTGCAGTCTGGCTCACGAGAAAAGGCCTTCTTTTAACTCCATAACATGAGTTATAAGAAAAGCATGCTAGCCATGCTTATCTTCTCAGAAAAATCTAGACCCAAAAGCCTGACGGGAAGTCCTTTACTAAATTATAAGACAGAGAAGAGAGGAGAGGAAGTCGTCTTTTTTGTTTTTGTGTATTTGTTTTTTTAGTGGCACTGGGGTTTGAACTCCAAGTCTCATACTTGCTAGGCAGGCGCTCTTATCATTTGAGCCACTCCACCAGTCCTTTTTTTTTATAGGTTTTTTTTCAAGATAGGGCCTCGCAAACTATTTGTCCTGGCTGGCTTTGAACCACAATTCTCTTGATCTCTGCCTCCTAATGTTTTTGTTTTCTGAGACAGGGTTTTGCTGTAGCCTAGGCTGGCCTCAACTCATGATCTTGCATGTTCTGGGACCCGGCCTTCACTTCCATGTTCTGGGATTATAGATGTGGACCATCATGCCTGGCATTCCTTCCATCCTAGATACTTTTTCAAAGACCAGGTTATTAGTGCTTAACTAGCATACTAATTAGAGGACAGTAATACATCTACAGCACTGACAAGATCTGGTTTTGCCCACCCATGTGTTTCTTCCTTGTTCCTCTAGCTGTAGGTATCATCACATGGAAGCCAGCTTTTAGTCCTAGGGAGGTGACCATATGTCCAGGTCTACCTGGGCAGAGTCCTAATGTACTCTTCTGAGCCCAGACACCACCCAACACCACCTCAGTCTGGCATCTGTCATTCACTTCCGATTTGGATGACACATTATATGATCACTCTGTTTGTGAAACAACAGAGCTACAGCAAAAACACAACTCCACAAAAGCAAGAAGTGGTCTGCCAGCAATTTACATAACACCTTCCATTCACCCAACAAATCACTATGACACCACACCATTATTTCAATCAATCCTCACAGCAAGCCCACCAGGCAGTTTGGAGGACTTGACTTATGCCAGTAAGCAAAGTAACAAAATGATCAGGGTCATACAACTGTGAGAAGCAGAGCTTGACTCAAAGGTGCCTTTCTACATAACCCCAATTCCTGCTGTGAATGGGCCTCCCTGCCTTCTCAGGGCATGTGGACACCCCACCCACCAGTTTCTGTATGTGTTAAGAGCTAGAAGTTCACCAAGAAAGGTGGTCAGTTTCAAGAAAGAAATAGTTTAGATATTCATATTTTTTCATCTTAAATTTGAAAGCAGAAATCAGCTTTCTGCAGATGTGTGTCTAATTCAGTTCTTGTTTCTGTAACCTAGTTTGAAGGAAGAAAGACTTCCAAAAGAATCAACCAAGTCTACTGAGGCACAGTTTGACTCAAAAGGATCCAACTGCTTAGCAAATGGAAAATAACACTGTGGAGTAAGTTCTGCATCACAAATTGCAAAGTTATCCAAGTCGTTCCTAAGGAAGTTAAAGATTTAAGTGCAAAACAGAGAATAAATAAATAGGTGACTCAAAAGCTTTGCTTTATATTTGCATAGCCTTAATCTTCTAAACCAGTTGGTCTCCCAGAAAAGGTAACTTAAAAGTCATAGCCTTTGCAATTTTCTTTTTCATTTTAATTTTTAATTCCAAAAGCACTTTTTTTTTTAATTTTTATTGTTTTATTATTCATATGTGCATACAATGCTTGGGTCATTTCTCCCCCCTGCCCCCACCCCCTCCCTTGCCACCCACTCCACCCCCTCCCTCTCCCCCCCACCCCCTCAATACCCAGCAGAAACTATTTTGCCCTTATCTCTAATTTTGTTGTAGAGAGAGTATAAGCAATAATAGGAAGGAACAAGGGTTTTTGCTGGTTGAGATAAGGATAGCTATACTGGGCATTGACTCACATTGATTTCCTGTGCGTGGGTGTTACCTTCTAGGTTAATTCTTCTTGAACTAACCTTTTCTCTAGTACCTGTTCCCCTTTCCTATTGGCCTCAGTTGCTTTTAAGGTATCTGCTTAGTTTCTCTGCGTTGAGGGCAACAAATACTAGCTAATTTTTTAGGTGTCTTACCTATCCTCAAACCTCCTTGTGTGCTCTAGCAAAAGCACTTTTTTTAATGCATTCTCTTTGAAAACAAAAGCCTTGTGTGATACAACGGCTTAAATGGTCATTTATCAATACCCCAATCTCAGCCCTGAGCCCTGTACACTGTCAGGTGTTTTTCTATCTAGGAGATTTTTTTTACTCTCTGCCTTTTCCAACAAGCATCCAGTAGAAGAATATTTCCCTTTTCTCTGTCAACTCCATCCTAGAAAAGCTATTAACCTCTAAGAGACAGGAAGTCCAAGGGACTGTAGCAGCTCCTTCTGCTTCTTCTCTCATCCTGCTAGTGCCTAAGAACAAGGCTCTAGGGTGAGACATCTGCACGAGAATCTTGCTAGCTGAGTGAGCAGGGCAAGTTCACTCACCAAGCTTCATGTGGCCACACCTGCCCTCAGACACAAATGCATGGATGCACTGCTCATATTCCTCCCCTAGCTTCCCACCAGCTCAGTCAAAGTGCTGGGGGACCTGTACGTTCCTCCCTGGTCTGCCCTTTTCCCAGGCCATGCCAGACCACTCTGATTTACGCTTACTCCCTACCTTCCTTTTCTGCTCTAGCCACCTTGATCTCCTTGCTGTTCCTCAAACAAGCCAAGCAAACTGTTCCTAAGGACCTTTGCACTTCCTGTCCTCTGCCTGGAATATTCTTCCTCTAGCATCCACTCAGCTCACTCCCTCTCCTTCAGGTTTCTGCTCAAATGTCACTTCTTGGAAAGGCCTTCCTGACAGTCCTATTACAACAGTTACCCCTCACTGCTATACTGACACTCCCTAGTCTCCCTTCCTACTTCATTTTCCTCGGTGGAGGAAATTTCCTAAGTGGCAATATCATGTATTGCCACCTGACGTACTATGAATTTCTTTGATTAGTTTCATCCCACTAGAAAGTAGGCTCTACACAGGAGCAATATGCCAGCATCCAGAAGAGAGCCTGGCACATAGTAGGCCCTCAAAAACATCTGCCAAGTGAATAAAGTGTTCCCACTCAGCAATCCTGAGTCAGATCCTGAAGGGAAAGTCCTGGAAAGAACTTTGGGTTTCATTTACATATGAAGTGATGCCCTTGGGGAGTACATAATTTATTTACAGTTTTAAAAAATCATTCTGGACATTACATGGTGAGGGAAGATTCTACTGAGGGTAAGAGTGGTATCACAGGCAGTTTGGGGACAATGCAACTTTTCAAAGGACAAAGAATGAGCTAGAGTGAAAAAATCTAGATTTTGAAAATCTATTTTGGAGCTATAGCTGACAGAGCTTAATAAGCTGGACATGGGTCTAAGAGGAATTGAGGATAACTTCCAGGTGTTTGGGGCATCAATACCTATATTTCTCAACAGTTTTCTCTTCAATGAGTGCTGTGAGAAAGGAGGTAGACACCTAAAGAGCTCACACAGCACCAGGCACATGTAAACCCCTTATAAACTTTATTCTTAGTAATGCCCCAAAGAGAAATCGGTTTGCCCTGCTTTGTTGTTAAACAAGATTACAAAACTATCCATCCCACAATGGCTGAGGGTAAAACAACTTTTTGTAGCGTGTGCCCTCCCCTCCCAGGGATAGACTTTTCCTTTATTTAACAGAATACTTAACAGTAATTTTTGGAAACATCTTACTTGCACACAGATAAATAAAAGGATTCCTCAATTTCAAAAGAATTTTAAGGCTCTTTTGGGTCATTCAATACTTATCAGGAGTAACTAAAAGCTGAAATGACAAACTTTTACTGATTAAAAACCAATCAAAACATAGATAAGTATATTTGAAATCATGATTTTTTTAAAACAGGCATTGACTGCATTTGAATACACCAGAAACTAAAATACCACACTATCCAGTTCAATACAGGACACCTGGCAACCCCATTTGTAAGTGTAACTCAGCTTTCTGCGAAGCCAACACCAGCCTTCTTGGCTGCTTAGTCTGTCCTTATTTCCCCCTGAAAAACCACTTTAAGCTTACAGATAACATTCGCCTCTATTACAATCAACAGCTTCTTTCAATAAGTCATCTGGTTTGCAAGGGCTTGACTGGAGTAACCCTGTATCTCCTTTCACAACCTCCCAATGGTTGCCTCCAGATAGCTGGTGAAAAGCTGCCTGTAGGGAATGTTAAGTAGGGAATGTTAGTAGCTGTCTCTGGACACTTTTTGTCTCAGGACTGTTTTGCTAGCATTTTCCTCTGCCTTACTCGACTTCCCTAACTACTGGCAATCTCAACTAAAAACCAGCCATTTTTTCTTCCCAACCCACTAACTCCTCCTTGAATCCTTTTACTACCTGGGAACCAAAAAGGCAATGTGAATTTGAACTAGAGCTGGAAGGACTTCTAAAGAATTTGCCCCATGGTTGATCTCTGGTAACAGCCTCTATTATTCAGCTCTAGCTCTTCTGAGGTCTGGAAGACACCCTGCTTCTAAAAGGGGAGGTCTGAAACCCAGCAGCCTCCCAAGGAGCTTGCTGGAAATGCAGTGTAAGACAGAACTCTGGCCCTAATGAATCAGAATCTTGACAAGATTTTAACAGATTCCCAGATGACTGCAGGCAGAAGCAAGTTTGAAAGGCCAGATAAGTGCTCAGGCCTTTTCTTCCTGTTGGCTGGGAGAGATTCTTATAACTAGTTTGCTTAAGAGTCCTTAATCTGATCTCACTTCATTGTCCTCACTTTCCAAGAATCCTGAGCTGCTTCCTTCCACCACCCCTCTAAACTGATCCTTGGAAGACAGTGTCTCTTTTCTGGGCCCTTTTCCTTCCTAAAGGCCATCATGATTACTCTGCCCTCTCTTGACGTGGCATTTTTCTTTAAGAGTTTTTTTGTTTTTTGTCTTTTTGTTTTTGTTTTTGTTTTTTTGCTGTGCTTCTCCCCAAATGGAGCCTCTAATATCAACCAAAACTGCCTCTTGGCACCCCTCTCAGAGCTGCTTCAACTGTCAGGGGAGCCTCCCAGCTGAGCTGACCCTCCTATCCCTAGTCCTCAGATGGGCCTGAATGGGCTTCTGGTGGGCCAGAGTCTGCCCTTTCTATGGCTTACCCTGAACTCAGGTTCTCCACATGTATGAACTGACTATCCTTTCCTTCTTTCCTGCCAACTGCTCCCTACCCACCTAGCACAACCAGATACAAGCCAACCAAAGCTGCCTTCAAGGGAAGACCTAGGAGGGAAAGATGATGCTGATTAAGAAATAGCCTTGAAGGATGGCAAGTGGTTCAAATGGTAGAGTGGCTTGCCTAGCAAGTATGAAGCTTGGGGTTCAAACCCTAGCACCACCGTCACCAAGAAGAAACAACCTCAACGAGGGTCAAGCTTGCTCTGAGGCTAGGAGGTGAGAGCTGGTGTGGGAATACATTAAAAATGCTTTTAAAACTTGCTACTTTGGTTTGGGATTTGAATTTACTGTCTTTTTAAAACTTTAACAAAGTAGAAAGTGTCAGTTTTCGGACGTGAAATGAGAGCCTTATCTAGAATTTCATAAATTAATGCTTTTTTCTCTCTCAATTTAGTGGCTAGATCGATAACACACATATTTTTCTTAATCCTTATCATTTTATTACACAATTGATTTCCCCAAAAAGAGCCATTTCCAGTCTCTTAAAAAGCACCCTTGGAATGGCTTGTCCACATTCACTATTAAAATTAGGCGTTGCTACTGGAGAGAGAGATGAGGGGTCCCACAGCGTTCCAAGTATCCACGCCAAAATCACAGGTCCTTGGGTTCACCGGCAAACTCTCTTCAGGTTTGACTTTCGCGATGTCGTGGCTCAGTATTCGCTAAGCTAGTTCCGGACTGATTCTTGTACCTTTTGGGCGTCCGTACTGCGGAACTTTGTTTGTGCAACTGAAAATATCGTGCCTATCGTTGTGCATGTTTAATTTCAATTTCTGGACGTTTTCAGTCCCGGCGGCGTTTATCGACAAGGTAACAAGTGAGGGGCAAAGAGCAAACGCAGCAAATTGCGCGCGCGACCCTCTGCCGGCCGGTCCACCGCACGGGCGCCGGCATGGCCCTGGCACCTCTTGGTCTGGAAAGTGGCGCCGCCAGCAAAAACTTGCACTTGCCTCCTTTTCCGCCCGTTCCAATAGTCAAGCAATGGGCTCTTTGCGCTTTTAGGAGATAAATGCACAGTGCTTCGGCCTGTACAAACAAAGACAAATGAAAGCGTCCCAGCCATAAAGGATCTCACAGAATAATGGGCATGCATCAGAGCGTCGGATGCCACTTGAGAGGTTAAACACTGATCCTGAGCCCCCTCAAGTCCCCCTAGTTTACCACCCAAGTTCGAAGAGCCCCCAGTCACACAGCACAGCAACTGATTTTTGTTGGACTGGTGACTCATTCGAGCATTTTCTCTTGCACGGCCATGTGGGTGCTACTTGGAGACGGGGAGCTGAGGAGGAAGACACCAGGGCTATGGAGAAAGCTCAATTTCACCGGGAAAACGGAAAGTAAGAAACAGGGAAGAGTATCGATTGTTTTGATGGTCAAATTAATAAGGTGCATATTAAAACATACTTACCAAGACTCTGGAAACTGTTTTTCTAACAAAGTTCTAGCTTATTTTCCCCACTAGATCTTGTTGGATTTTTTAAAAAATCCGGTCTGTTTTTCAAACTAGGCCAGGAGTCCCTCGGTTCTAAAGTGAAAAAAGTTTGCCTCCGGTTTCTGGAAATTTCTCAGGTTCTGAAATACACAGGCTTTTACTTAACTCTGTTTCCTCCAGCAATGATATCGCTTTTTATTTTAGAGAAAATTCTGGCTGGTAACATGCCCAGGATACATACTGGGAGGAAAAATAACTTGGAAAAGAAAAGAGTTTTTCTTAATTTCTTTCAAAAACAATAAGAGGGACAAATAAAGAAAGTAGAGAAATAAATTTACCCAATGCAATCATTCAATTCTGGACCATAAGCCTAAAGGAATATCCATCTTAACATCAGAAGGTGGAGGTAATTACCAATAAGGGCATCTGATGAATCCCTCTAAAATGGTTCTTATGAAGAGGGCAGTTCAGAAAATCTAGCAAACAAAAGGAGGAGGAAGGGAGGAGAAGTGAAAAACAAAAGCCTCATGAGAGTAGAGAAGCAAAAGACAAGAAGAAAGGAGAATGCTGGGAAGAGAACTGGGAATCAAAATGGACAGTTATGAGGCAGGTGTTTGCACATCCTGAGAATCTAAATGTTCAACTCAATTTAGAAATACTTATTTTTAAAAAGGCAGGCAAGCAGAAGTGCATAAGCTAAAAAAAGTACAAGCACACTTTTAAGCCCACACACAACACATCCCACCACATACCCAAAGCAGGAAAGATGACAGCATGAAGGTGGAAGAGGAAGGCTGAGACGCACCTAACACAAGCAAACCAGCACATTGACCTTGCTGGAACCATATGGTTGGAATCAATGACTTAACAGAAACCGTAGCAGGCTTCCTTGCTCTAAAGAAATCCCTACTATTCTCAGCAAATTTGAGATTATTCCAAAGAAAAACAAAAGCTCCCCACAAAGAACTTCCATATTTTACTTAATTGTCAAAATCAAAAGATCTTATTTATTTAATGTCTGAATGTTAATAATGCTACCTATAGCAATTTTGAACCAAAGCACATTAAGGCTTTGACATTAAACTTTAATACAGGTGTTTGTATGAACAAATCTACAGATGTCATTCTGAAGATCAAAACCAGTGGGATGCAGTAGTAAAAGCTGACGAAGGGCTAGGGGTACAGCTCATTGTAGAACACTTTGCTTGGCAAGCATTAGGGCCACTGTTTCCATCCTGGCACCACCAAAACCAAAAAAAAAAAAAAAAAAAAATTAAACAGATTCACCCAGCTGTTTATAGTGTTTCTTGTGTTTTGTTTTGTGGTGCTGGGATCTAAGCAGGGCCTTACAAATACTAGGAAAGAGCTTACTATCTTGGAACATACATCCCCTAGCCCCCCAGTTACATTTTATTTACATTCTTTGTCCTAATTCATGGAGGTAAGGAGTGGAATGAGAGGAAATGAAGAAGAGGAGCGTAGGACATGTCTTGGTCTCATGATAAATTAAACACCATGAATTTCCAACAGGTATGTTAGAATTTCACAAATCTTGTGGAGAGTTTAGACTCTGTTTTTTTTTTTTTGTGGATAGGGTTGAGCTCAGGTCTTCACAATTTGCCAAGCAGTATAATGCTACCCGTTGGAGTCACATCTCTAGTTCAGAACAGAATTTTTTGATACAGATTCAACATAAAATAGTCAATCCTGAAGCATGTTAACATATACTACCTTATTATTGTAAATAATAATAAATGTATTTATGTAATATCTAATGTTAATGTATTATGTAATTGAGGAATAAATATATGTAGCAAATAAAATATCATCTGTACAATGAATACTTTTTAAATGAGTATAATACTATTTATGGGTTAAACTTCATTACACTTACAAAAAAGACTCTAATGTATTAGTTATGAATACTACTTATATACTAATTCTTATGGGCTTATTAAGATATCAGTTTTGCTCTTATCAGATACAAACTAATTCTAGCAATCTAAAGGAATACTCGGTTCTTCTTTGTATCCTTCCCAGCATCTAACGCAGGGCCTGGTTCATAGCAGGCCAAGATAATATTTTGGAAAAATGAAGAACCATCAGTACGATAAGCCAGAAGTCAAAAGTAGGAAATTAAACTACTTTAAACTGAATAAAATCCCCATACGATCATAATTCAGGAAACTGAATTAAAGTATAAATACTCTAAACACCTACTAAGCAGAACACAGGTCTTCAATTCCAAGTAGCGACTCTTTGCATTACTTGGTGACCTATCATGGCATCACATTCTAGATTTTTTTTTCAGCATTTTAATATGAAATTTA